AGAGGCACTTATTGTAGACAGCCTTCTCAAGGAGTTTAGCCACAAAGCGCAGAAGAGATATGGGATGGTAGCTAACAGAGATGAATGGGGCAAGACATGTTTTTTTAAGATGGGGGAGGCATGAGTATGTTTGTAGGTAGCAGAGAAGCAGCCAATAGACAGGAAGAGACTGAAGATGAGTTAGAGAATGGGAATCATAGAGGGGTTAATCTGCTTAAGATAGGATAAAATTGATCCCTTGTGCATTTAAAGGTTTTTCTTGGCAAGGAGTAGGGCCACCTCTTCATGTGAGATATGGGTGAAGGAGGAGATGGTGGGATCAGGCATCTAAGTGCCCTTACCTCTGTCTCTGAGATGCTACTTGACCTTGGGCAAATCACTTAAATTCTCTGGGCCTCAGCTCCCTCATCTTTTAATGGGAAACCATCCTATTCTCAACCTTTCCACTTGCTCGTACCCAGAGTGAAAATTCTGTACCTAAACACAAAAGCTAAATCTTAAAAGATGGCAGGAGAACAGCAGGTACTCAGCAAGACAATGGAACACCACCTGATATGCCACGTATGCCTCAATCCCTGCTCTCTGGCCATTGTCTACATGGAATGGGGTCCATAGCCTGTGTTACTCAAGTTGCCAGGAAGTTACCACTTTCTTAGCATGGATATTAAGACAAAAGAAGTCTTTTTGAAGTAAGAGTGATTGAGGTTAAACCTAAGGAAAAACTTCCTGATTCGAAGGACTTTTTGTAAACTATGTTTTCAAGTATGGTTTGTGAACTTTCTTCACTACAGAGGTGGGAAATATGCCTCTATTTGTCCAACCTGGCTTAAGGGGAAAGCCCAAAGGTAAGGCGACAGACAAGATGGCCTCGGAAGTGGGTGATTCTCCTTCATATTCACTGAGCAGTACCGACATGCCTATTGCTGAGAGAATATACCACATACCATCCATGTCACTCTCAGCTCTGAGGTTTCCCCCCATTCTCACTGCCAAGCTAAATTTAAATATTCTACCACCGCCACAGCCCACACCCCCAAGCTGCACCTCTTACTCCCACCTTACCTGTCATGGCTAGGACTTGGGGAAGAGAATGTCTTGGGTCCAGAGAAGCAGAAGGACATTGAATTGACTCCCCGCAGTCAGGGGGACAATGAGGAAGCAACTGCCCCCCAAAAAAGATATAGCAGAGGCCACAGGGTAGCGTAGACAAAGCGGACTCAGTGCAATACCACCCGCTCTCCTTAGCTCCTCTGCTTAACTGTTCTCATTAGCTGAAGATTTAGTGGGCTGGGTCCCAGGAGCATCCTGCACAATGATCCCAAAGGGTTTGCCTGGATCCCTTTGTTCTAGTCTCAACATCCTGCTTAGCACCAGCAAGGAGCTGTTTACCCCACTAGCTAGCAACAACAGCAGCCCTCCCTGGCTCCCATTCCTCAGAGACCACAGCCCTGGGTCCCCAGGGAAGGCCTAGAAGGAACAACAACTTGGCAAGATCAGAGGCCAGAAAGCAGCTTTTTAATCTCTGGTTGTCTTCAGTTATCCAGTCTGTCCAATCTGAAGGGGGAGAAACCGGTCATGATTCTTGCAGGAGAGGGAAGAAGAAAGGAGGGGGAAAGAGTACCCAAAGGCATATAGATTGGAAAGAAAAGAGGATAAAAAGGAAAGAAAAAAGCCAGCCAGTCTTTTATATATTCACTTGGCTTCTGTCAGATGCTGCCTCATCTCTGGCCCCCATTAACAGGAAGTAAAAAATATACCACACTTGAATACCATCTGGCTGCATCCTTAGAGCAATGCTCTGCTTCTGGGCCAGATTTACAATCTTTTTATCTGCTTCAGTAAGCCCCAGAAGGACATACCCCGCCTAATATGTACAACAGGGATACTAGGACCCCCTCCCCAAGGTAAAGACCTGCCCAAAACTACACAAAAAATTCAGTTGTCTTTAGCTCCTTACCATGGCTTACATTCTACGTCTTCATTTCACAAACAAGTTAATGGGTTTCCTAAGGGCAATCAATCCATATTTCTTTAGGGCTTTAGGGTTTACTACGTATTTTCCTCCATGAGATAGCACATATTTTATTATCCCCATTTATTGAGGCTCAGATATATAGATATAGATATAGATATAGATATAGATATAGATATAGATATAGATGATATAGATACAGATGATATAGATATAGATATAGATATAGATATAGATATAGATATAGATATAGATGATATAGATACAGATGATATAGATATAGATATAGATATAGATATAGATATAGATATAGATATAGATATAGATATAGATATAGATATAGATATAGATATAGATATAGATATAGATATAGATATAGATATAGATATAGATATAGATGTAGATGTAGATACAGGTCAAGGCAACAGAAAACCATTTGAATGCCACAATTCTCTGTCTGGTTTCTACAGGACACAGGCTGAATGGGACTACCTAACGACTGCCCTCAGACCCATGGCAAGAGGGGGAAAGACTTTTTTCTGATAATTGGGATGCTCAGGCACTCAGGACATCATAGCTGTCTCCCTTGAACCATGCTGTCAATAAGAATTCATGAAGTTCTCACTAGAGAAGTAGCCTGGCCTAGTAAAGAGCCAGAGTCCTAAAGACCTGGGTTGGAATACCGCCATTTATACAGACTGCCTAAGCGACCCTGCCTCACTTAATCTCTGACCTCCCCAGCCAGCTTTCTCTGGCTACAAGTTGCTAAGCAGGTGCTGATATTAACTGATGGAGGGAGTTCCCTACAAAAATGAAATTGCAGACCTAATCCCCCCCAAAGCATGCAGAGGCCCCAAACAGACAAAGATCCTGGGTCCCTTCCTCAGTCTACAACTCATGCTCCTAACCCCAGCCAGGATCCTACCCTGAAGGCCCAGTCAGTTCAGATACTATGTCCAAATGCACACATTAGCCTGCTGAGCCCTAGGCCAGCTCACTTCTGCCTCTGACACTCCTAAAGTTATTTCAGATAAACATCAATCGGTGAACCCAGGCTGCTGAGTAAGGGAATTTGTTCCAACCTAAGTGAGTAACTAGAGAAAGCTGAGGAGGCCATGCCCTAAGCTCTTTGGCCACAGTCAATCGACAGGATTCCAGGACAAGATGTTCCTGCCCCCAAATCAATTTAGGGAATGTTGCCTAAAGAAAGTGCTTGAGGGCTCCCTAGCCTGGGGCTGTGGAGACTTGTCCCTATGAAGCATTGGGGGGAGTGTGTGAGTACAACTCTGTGTGGTGGGAGGGTGGCAGAAGTAGGGAGAGATTCACGTGCATGCATGTGAATATGAGGATGTGTGCTTACGTGTAGATGTGTGTGTGTGTGTGTGTGTGTGTATGCCTGTGTGCACTTGCACACAGAGTGAAAGTGGAAATCCTTTTTGTTGTTCAATTGTTTTTCAGTCATATTTGACTCTTTGTGACCGCATTTGGGGTTTTTTTTAGCAGCAGTACTAGAGTGATTTGCAATTTCTTTCTCCAACTCATTTTACAGGTGAGGAAACGGAGGCCAACAGGGTTAAGTGGCTTGCCTAGGGTCACATAGCTTGTAAATGTCTGATGCTGGATTTGAACTCAGGTCTTCCTGACTCCAAGTGCAGTACTCTATACACTGACCCACCTAGCTGCTCCAAGTGGAGATTCTAACACCTGAAATATTTTGTAATAAAATAACAGATGCTCATAGGCAGGGAGATCACAGAGGACTGTCTGGGTTCCCTCATAAAACCTTCCTTAAAGGCTGCATCATGGCATGGCACGGTGGTGAGTCACGGTGGTCTGGAAGCCAGCACATCACAAGCCCTGGTGGGTACCATCAGCCTGGAAAGGCTGTGACTATATGTACTGACAAACCAGGGGGTGTCCAGGGAAGAGAACGAACAAGATAGAGAGAAAACTGAAGGACGTACTGTCAGAGGACCACGAGAAAGGACTAGGGAGGTTTAACAAGAGAGAAAAGAGACTCAGGGTCTGAGGGGACATAATAGCTATCTTCAACTAACAAGTTATTACGTGCCAGCTGGTTCAGCTTGGTCCCAATGGGTAATAATAAAGAATTATTATCTATGTAGCACTTACAAGTTAAAGGAGCACCTCACATAGATTAGATGCTAACAACAATCCAGTGGAGTCAGCGCCATTACCATCCTCAGTTTATGAATGAGGAAGTGGAGGTTCGTAGAGGTTTAAGTGACTGGCCCAAGGTCATAGTGTCTGAGACAAGATTTGAATGTCAGTCTTTGTTCCTAGACCAGTTAGGTGACACAGTGGATGGAGCACCAGGCCTGGAGTCAGGAAGACTCATCTTCCTGAGTTCAAACCTGGCCTCAGACACTTACTAGTTGTGTGATCTTGGGCAAGTCATTTCACCCTGTTTGCCTCAGTTTCTTTATCTGTGTAATGAGCTGGAGAAGGAAACGGCAGTATCTTTGCCAAGAAAACCCCCAATGGGGTCAGGAAGAGTCAGCCAGGGCTGAAAGGACTGAACAACAACAAAGAGAAGCATAAAGAACAATGAAAGTAGGAGAGAGGCAGGAGGAAGAGAAAGAAAGAGGAGAAGAAATAAGAGAGAGATCGATTAAGGTGGCTGTGGAGGAAAGGGAGAGAGATCCAAGAAAAACAAGAGGTAAAGAGACAGTAATAGAGCTAGGGACAGGAATAAGGAAGAGAGAGAAATGGAGAGAAAGGCAGGGACAGAATCACAAAGAGAGGCAGAAAGATAAGGACGGAGACGGAGGACGGGGGAGGGGGAGAGAGAGAAAGAGAGGGGGAGAGAGACAGAGGCAGAGATTTAAATAGTGATGGAAATAGAAGAGAGACACCAGGCAAGAAGGACAGAGGAGGAAGAGAGGAAGACAGACAGACAGAAAGAACAAGATAAAATGGGTGTCCAGAATGAGAGCAAAGCCCCACACTGCCGTTGTTAGCTCACTCCCTCTGCCGGGCTTTCTCATTATTTTCCTTTGCTTTACAGGACCCCAGGGTTGAGACACCTCTGAACAAATCTGGTAAGGTCAAGCTCGGTTTTTCTCAGTCCGCTTCAATCTAGCAACCAATTCGTATATCCAGGAGTAAGTCCCTCCTCACGCGGTGCTCAGTCCTGTGCGGCGCTCGGGAGTTTACAAGCTCTCTAGGGAAGCCAAACACACAAGCCACAGAGAACAATAAAAAGGTAAAACTACGTCTTGGCTGTGGGTGCGAAGGCACACAGAAAATGGTGTCAACGAGCAGGATGAGCTCAGGCTAGGCTCACTAGGTGTGACGTGTTGAGACATAGAACTCAAGGGAAAGAGCTACCCGGTGCCCCGGGAACATGTGGGCTTTTACGGGAGGACAAGGACACTTAAAACTTCTCCGACCAGGAAGGAGGCAGAGGATTCTGGGCTGGTAGAAAGAAATTCACATCACTAATAAGGAAGACCCACATAGAAACTTAACCTCTGAATGGGCCACCAGCTTCAGTTAGGGAAGAGGTGCTAGGGAAGAATTCCCACCATGACAGTACGGGAAGGAGTGGGTCCAGGCTGCTCAAGCTCACAAAGGCATTTCCCACCAGTTCTTGGGTACACCATGCTCTGATGTGGAGGCAGGGATTCCCTGCCTTGGGGTGGTACAGGAAATAAGATACCTCCTAAAAGCCTCTGGCTTTCCTTCTTACACCACATTTCATACCAGAGAGTGATGGGGAGGTAACTATATCACATTATACTGTGATGGGTCCTTGATTCAAGCCAGTGGGGCTAGACTGATCTGGGGCAGAAAAGGATAGCCAAGGGGCAGCTAGGTGGCGAAGTGGAAAGAGCACCGGCCCTGAAGTCAAGAGTACCAGAGTTCAGATCCGGCCTCAGACCAAACACTTGACACTTACTAGGTGTGTGACCCTGGGTGAGTGACTTAACCCCAATTGCCTAACCAAAAAAAAAGAAAAGAAAAAAAGAAAAGAAAAGAACAGCCAAAGTTGAGTGAGGGGATAAAATTTAGAGTTGAGCTTTCTCCAATTCTTTCATCCTGAACAGATAAACAGATAAAACCTTCCAGGAGTCACAGTCACAAATTAATTTGGAAGAGGGTCAAATCCATTTTAATACAAAGCCAACCTCCATCTTCTTATCTACTCAAAACTGAATGAAAATAGAACTGTACTATCCAGAAACACTGGTCTCCTTGCTGTTTTTGAATAATGAGCTCTATCTCCTTACCCTGTGTCTTTTCACTGGCTGTACCCCATGCCTGGAATGCTTTCCATCTTGGCTTCCTTCAAGACTCAGTTCACATTTCCTCTGCTGAAAGAAGCCTTTCCTGCTCCCCACTACTGCTAAGCCTTTACCTCTGAGATTATCTCCCATTTTATGCTGTTCACATGTTGTCTCCCCCATTAGAATGTGAGCTACTTGAGAGCAGAGATGATTTTTGCCTTTCTTTTTATCTTGTTGTGGTGGTGATGGTGGAAGAGGAGGAGGAGGAGGAGGAAGAGAAAGAGGAGAAGGAGGAGGAGTTGTTTCAGTGTCCAACTCTCCATGGCCCCATTTGGGAATTTCTTGGCAAAGATACTGAAGTAGTTTGCTATTTTTAGCCTTAATACTCAACAAATTCTGAAAGAAGAAGAAGAAGAAGAAGAAGAAGAAGAAGAAGAAGAAGAAGAAGAAGAAGAAGAAGAAGAAGAAGAAGAAGAAGAAGAAGAAATAGGAGATCTGGAGTCAAAGGACTCAGTTCTTTGACTTGGTTCTGATCCCAGTTCTGCCATGCACTGGTTGAGCAAACCCTCCAACTTCTTTGAGCCTCAGCTTTCTCATCTATAAAATGACAGAGTTGGAATAAATGACCTCCAAAATTCCTTCCAGCTCTAAGGCCATGAAGCTATAACCTAGGTTCAAATCCCAGCTCTGCTACTCAGTACCTGTGTGACCTTAAACAAATCTGTTTCTGGATCTTTTCCCTCCCTACAAAACAAGGAAGTTGAACTAGAGGACTTTTAAGTTCTCTTCCAACTCTGAATCTATGATTCTATGACCAGAGGCTTCCTTGAAATGAGAAGGAAAGCTGATACTCCCAAGGTACTCAACTGTAAAGGACTTCCCAACCTGCCAAAGATATATTTCAACCTCAGCACCGATGCAAACCCGTCTGAGGAAGGGATCATGGATACCTGGGAGAGGTGAAATCTACAAATTCCAGACTAACTCTAGGGCTCTGCCTCCTGTCCAGGTGGGTGGGGTGGGGAGGTGGAGAGTCCCCTGCCTCCCACATCCTGGGTTCTTCTTACAGATGCCTCACTGGTGCATGAGCCCCAAGCTGGAATGGCATCCTTCAAAGATCTGTGGATGGCAATCGTTGCTACTGTGATGGCTGTCTTGATTGTCACTGGCAGGATCTTACTGGGTGAGTGTCAGCTCCCCTCATGCTCTGTGTCCTTCTTTCCCATTCTCCCAACTCCCACTGCCTCATAAAGGAGGTGGGGGTGGGGATCCAGACAGCATAGAAGAGCTCCATAGGCTGGCTTCTGACTACATAATCTCTGATCCCCCTTCAGATCGTGAGCTCAGACTTCCTTCTTGAGAAGGAAAAGGCACTTCGAAGAAAGGGTTGGGGAGGCATCCTGAGGTCCCTGGCCAAGTTTCTGCATATTGATATGCATAAATATTTGCATAAGTCTGTGCCAAGTCTGCACTTATCTCCTGTTTTGAGGGCCATAAGGATAACTCTCTGCGAGTGAAGGAGTCCATTATAGCTCTGGCTTTGAAAGACCTTACAGGCTCTATTTGACCCTCAGAATCTCTAAGAAAGAGAAATATTAATTACACAAACCTTTGCCAAGCATTTGGATGGAAGCTCCTGGAGTCCCAGGAATCAGATCTGTCCACCCTACCTTCCCTCAGGATACTGGGTGAGTTCTAAGTGCTCAGGCTAGGCTGAATTTCCTCTCCGCTTTCACCCGAAGCCAAGGAATGAGACTGTTCCTGGTGACATTATCTCTACCTCCCTTCTACCTCCACTCTTCCCCTTGGCCCTGGACCTAACTCCAAGCGTCTTTCTCAATTACATTTCATTCAATTCTCCTCCTCCTTCTGCTTCTACCCCATTTATCTTCAACATACAATAATATTAAGAAGCTACAACCCTTCCGCCTTACCTTTAATCCTCAATAATATTAATGATAACAGCTAGCATTTCTAGAGTGTTTTGTAGATCCAAAGCACTTTTCTCAACCTTACTCTCATTTGAACCTGACAAGGCAAATAGTGGAAATAATATTAGTTCTATTTTTCATATGAAGAAATGAGACCCAGAGAGATCACAGTTAGTCAATCGATCAATATTTATTAAATGCCGGACACTGCATTAGGCTCTGGGGAGACAAAGAAAGGCCAAAGACAGTCTCTGTTCTCAAGGAGTTCATGGTCTAAGAGGGTAATGGAATTGGAGCAGCCATGAATTCCAACCCATACCCACAATAACATGCCTAACTCACAGCTATCAGGTGAAGTGGCTTACTAGAGGGCACACAACGAGGCAGGGACAGCCTATAACTTCTGACTTCCTAGTGCCACCTCTTGCCTCTTAAATGATAGGATTATAGATTTAGAAATGGAAGGTCTGAAGTTTAGAGGTTGTCTAATCCCTTCCCTTTTACTCATTGGGAAACTGGGGCTTATAAAGGGCAAATGACCTTCTCAAGGTCACAAAGTTAATAAGAGGCTGAACCAGAATTTCTACCCTGGTGGTATCCTCTAATTCCCAATCTATTGTCCTATCAACTATGCCACAAGTGCCTATAGTAGCTACCTCACAGGGTTGTTGAAAATCAAATAATAATAATAATAATAATTAGAAAGCATTTTGTAAACTTAAAAGACTATATAAATTCGGAATGTTGTTATTATCTATCTCTTCTCTAAATTCCTTCAGCACTTATAGATTTTCCTGCATATGATTGCCAAAGCTACCTTTTATTGATGTCTACTTTTTTCATGGCTATCATTCTTTGTTTTCTAATTAGATTATAAACCTCCTGGGGGCAGGAGCCATTTCTTATATTTCTTTATATCCCCCTAGCACAGTGCTGGACATAGTTAGGTATTCAGTAGTTAATAAACAAACTTTGGGTAACATCTAGCTAAAAGGAGATTGTCCAATCCCACCTAAATTTGTACTGCATTTAGCTCAGTTCCATGACATCAAACAATGGTTTTTGAATGAGGACAGTGGAGACAGTTCAAGTCATCATAACCCTACAGCATTTCTAATCTTATCTTTCTTTAGTTAAGTCAACCATAGGAAAATTTGGGATACACAAAGATGGTCCAATCAAAAGCTATTTCATTTGAAAGCTAAATACACTGAACCCAGAACTAGGAATTCCATGTGAGTACCTCCTGGGCCATGGGACTTTTTGATGTAGATTCAGGCTTGGGAAGTCACAACCCTTAGCTTTTGTGTAATCCTAGCTTTGAAAGACCTCACAGGCTCAGGCCAGGCACAGGTCAGAAACTCTCTTTCTACTACTCCCTCTAGGAAAGGCATCTTAGGACAGTGGGAAAAATCTGGATTACATCTCGGAAAACTCTGGTGCTAGGTGTTATGAGCTTAGGTCTCTTTACCATTTAATGCCTTGAGTTTCCCCATCTGAAGAATGGAAGAATTGAGTGAGGAAGTTAAGTGGTACAACAGAAAGAACACATATCTTGAGTCAGCAGAAGACCTGAGTTCAAATCTTGCCTCAGACATTTACTAGCTGTGTGACCCTGAGCAAGTTAACCTCTGTCTGCCCATTTCCTCATCAGTAAAACGGGGGTAATAATGGTACCTACCTCCTAGTTGTTGTGAGGATCAAATAAGATAATATTTGTAAAGCATTATATAAATTCTAGCCCTTATTATACAGATGAGGTAGAACAAGCGTGGGCCACCACCAGAAGTTTGAAGACGATTAAAGCCCAGGTCTTTGATTTGACACCAAAGTTAGACTGCTATCGTTCAGTCCTTTCAGTTGCGTCTGACTCTTCGTGACTTCATTTTGGAGTTTTCTTGGCTGAATGGCCATCGGTTAAAGCTTGTTGTACCATATCTCAGTAATACCTAGGAAGGGAACACTCTGAAGGAGAGAATAAGGCTGATGGCTTTTCGAAGTTCTAACTCACTTAAATCCAATTTGTGGCAAGTCGAGACATCACCCTCATGATGTCTTTGGCCTTTTTCAAGAATGAAGGACAGCAGGGACAGCTAGATGGTGCAGTGAATAGAGTTCTGGCCTTGGAGTCAGGAGGACCTGAGTTCAAATCTAGCCTCAGACACTTAACATTTACTGGCTATGTGACCTTAGGTAAGTCACTTAACCCCGATTGCCTCACCAAAAAAGCAAAAAAAAAAAAAAAAAGGAATGAAGGACAGCTAGGTGATGCATTGGATAGAGCTCTGGCCTTGGAGTCAGGAGGACCTGAGTTCAAATGTGACCTCAGACAGTTGACATTTACTAGCTGTGTGACCCTGGGCAAGTCATTTAACCCTGATTGCCTTACCAAAAAGAAAAAAAAAAAGAACGAAGGACAAACAATAATACCTACCAAATGTGCCTCTTTTCACCAGCATCACTCATTCACTCTGCTTATTACTCAGCCTTTGTGTATTTGTACATAGACACCTGGTTTTATTGCTAACTGCTTTATTAGATTTGGTGAATTTCTGCTAGTCCACTCCTATTCTTCCTGCACTGTTGCTGCTCCCTATGGAATCTTGCTTAGTGAGTTTATCTGGACAATTTTTTTCCTTCCTCTTTACTTTTCAATGTAAAAGCCTTTTGTTATTAGAATTGCAAGACTCCAGGAAAACTACATTCTTCCCAGCTCTTGTTAGGCATACTCTGTCACTGGGTAGGAACACATCATTCCCTCTTTTTATGGAATAATCTAGAAATCAAATCACTTCCCTTTGATGGGCCTCATTTTCCTCATCCGTAAAATAAGGACATTTACCAGATATCTCTAGTTCTGACATTCTGTCATAGCCAAGACATTCTGGCTTCCCCACAGGCTTTGGGTCAAATGCTTCATTGTACTGAATCCCTGTCATGCTACAGGTCTTAGGATGGGGGGAGGTTAGAAGAAAGACAGCCTCTGCTAGCCACAAACCCATTCTTCCTGACACCCACCCTGTATTTGTGGCCATACTAATCCTGCACGAGTGCTATTTCTTCTGTGACCAGTACAAATCCATCCCAAGGGAGAAGGTGTGTGACAGACATAAGGACTGTGCCCTGGGGCAGGATGAGGAGCATTGCGTTGAGAGCATCCCCAGTGAAGATGTGCCTGTGGTCGGAGGTGAGTCCCCAGGAAGTAGAACAAGATTGGCTACTGATCTCGGAGTAAGGAACACCAGAGTTCAAATCTTGCCAGTGTGACCCTGGGCATGTCACTTACCCCTCTTTGCTTCAGTTTCCTCATCTGTAAAATGAGCTAGAGAAGGAAATAGCAAACTACTGCAGGATCTTTGCCAAGATAACCCTAACTGGGGTCATGAAGAGTCAGACATGACTGAAAAATGATTGAATAACAACAAAAATTTGGAGCCCAAGCTCCAAGCACTAAGGAATGAGAAAAACAGACATAATGGAAAGTTGCAGGGAAAGTGCCTTAGGGACCATTGGGATTGGTCCTAATGGACCCTGCCCTCCGTTTGGTTACTCGAGAGGTGGGGAACCTGAGGCCTTGGGTGCAGCCTTTTGACTGAGTCCAAGTTTAACGAACAAATCCTTTTATTAAGGGGATTTATTCTGTGAAGTTTGGATTCAGTCAAAGGGCCACACTTGAGGACCTCGAGGGCCACATGGGGCCTGGAGGCCTCAGGTTCTCCACCTGGGGCTAGACCTTAAGGCAGTGTGGGCACCATGATATTTGGGCACAGGATATTGAAATCAAGAGACTTGGGTTCAAATTTTGGCTCTAGTTGTAGTTTCTAGCTCCATAGCCTCAGGCAAGTCACAGCCTCTCTGAGCCTGTTTTCTTGTGTGTAATACGAGGATAAGGATACTTGCACAAGGTTATTAGGAGGAAAGTACTTTTTGAACCTTGAAAGCGCAATTGCAACATAAGTCCTCAGTATTGTTCTTATTGCCCGACCTTTGGAAGCTCCCCATTTGCACAAGACTCTACCATTTTAAGGGGACTAGGTGAGAGGCTTGTCCAGAGACAAAGCTAGTGGCTGGAACAAAGTCATAGACTTAGAGATGGAAGGGATTTTTAAAGGATATCTAGTACAACCCCCAACACCACCTCATTTTACAGATAAGGAAACTGAGGCCCACAGAGGTTGAATGACTTGTCCAAGGTCACACTGGTAATAAGTGTCTGAGGCAAGATTTGAACTCAGATCTTCCTGACCACAGGCTTGGAGTTCTATCCACTACACCATGCTACTCCTCTAATGGCTTAGGCTGGTGAGGGATATGAGAAACACTAGAGAAAAACAACAGAGATCATCCATGTTTATTGGATGTTAAGTGAATAGCTCAAGGCTATTCTGGTATAGTGGGGTCAGAGGACCTGGGTTCAAATCTTGTGTAAAACTTCCCAGTTGTGAGACCTTGGGCAAGTCACTTTCCTTGGGCTTCATGTGTAAAATGAGAGGTTGGACTAGATAGCTTGTGAGGTTCTTTCTAGCTCTCTATCTTCTACCCTATAAAATGGAGCCAATTAATTACTTTCATTCAAATTCGACCCTGCCCCTACCCTGCAAGGCTCTGCTGAATGGGAGGAGCCCTTCCATGTCAGTGGCCAGGCCAATCTAATCCAACAGGCATTTATTAAGTGCTTCCTGTATGCAGTTCAGGGTGTGGTCCTGGAGGGGGAAGGCGGGGGGGGGGGGGGGCAGCAGCAATTGGGGTGACAGTCCACAAAGACAAAACAAAACACAGTCCCTTCACTCAAGGAGCTCATCTTCTAATTGGGGAGACAAGTAGGTACATACAAAACGTACAGAAGGGGCAGCTAGGTGGCGCAGTGGATAGAGCACCGGCCCTGAAGTCAGGAGGATCTGAGTTCAAATTCGGCCTCAGACCAAACACTTGACACTTACTAGCTGTGTGACCCTGGACAAGTCACTTAACCCCAGTCACCTAAAAATAATAATAATAAACATACAGAAGAGACAGAAGTGGATCTCAAAGGGAAAGCATGGAGGCAGGGGAGAAGGGGTGAACTAGAAAAGGCCTCCTGCACATGGTAGAATTCGAGCCATCCGGAGGTTAGTGGAATTTTGGAACCATCTTAGGCGCAGCCAGTTAAAACCAAACCAATCGGCTTTCTTTATGTTGGTGAAATTGCAGAATCCATCCCTTCACTGATCTTCTCTTCAGACTGACCTTCCCTCCCACACCCCTAAGCTGCTCGTTCTTATCCTTCCCAGAAGGATAAAAGATGAGGTGAGGCTAGTCTCAGTATCTTGGGGGATGAGAAGGGGGCAGGTGCGAGTAAGCCCGGGAGGGTGACTGACTGCTCACAGGCTGACCCAAGTCTCTCTGCTTCCTAGTCTGTCTCTCCAAGGACAGATCCACTCTACAGATGGATCTCTGGTCCTCAGCCTGTTTTGACAACTTCACAGAAGCATGGGCTAAAATCGCCTGTACCCAGATGGGGTATAACAGGTACCTTTGTCTCCCTTCAAGACCTTTCTTCCTTCTCTCCTCAACCTCTCCACCTCTTTTCCTCCTTACCATGCCTCTCTTTTTTTCTTCCATCTCCTTTATTTGCCTTTTTCTCCTTTTCTGGCAGCCAAAGCCCCTTTGAGTAAAATTACACTTTAAATGGGGCTTGATTTTACTGGTATGTTTTAATCCTAAGGCCTCAGACACTTCCTAGCTGTGTGACCCTGGGCAAGTCACTTGTTTACCTCAGTTTCCTCATCTGTAAAATGAGCTGAAGAAGGAAATGGCAAACCACTCTGGTATCTTTGCTAAGAAAAACCCCAAATGAGGTGACAGTCAGATACAACTTAAAACAACTGAACAATAACAAAACCCTTGCAGATCTGCACATGGTATTCAAAACCAGCCCCAAAATCCTGAGTTATGATATGGTGGAGCAAACATCAGCCTGCCTATCTGGAGTCTTGAAACAAGAGAAACTCTCTGGTCTAGCCCTAACTAGCTATGTGACCTTGGCAAAGACCATTTCACCTTTACTGGCCTCTGTCCTCATCTGTAAAACAAGGAGATTGGAACTAGGTGACTTCTAAGTAAGGCCCCTTCCAATTCAAAATCTATGATCCTATGATCCCTCTGTCTAGGTCTTAGTTCTCTCAACCACAAAATGAAATGAAAGGGGCCTAGACTAGACTGTCCCAAAGGTCCCTTCTGCCTCCAATATTATGTAATTCTATTATTCTAACACAATATACCTATTTGGAATAGACAGACATGGGGACCTCTCTGTTCATTTCCGATGTGGGATAACCTTCCCGGTTTTTCCACAATGTTAAGATGCTTGGCAAAATGGCCAGGGGCTCTGGTCACTCCTGGTCCTTCATCATTAAGACAAAATGCAAAAAAAAAACCCCAACCATATATATATGTGTATATATATATATATATATATATATATATATATATGTATGTATGTATGTTTCCCCTGAAACTCTCCAACCACATGCTCCAGGAGCCTCTGAAGAGGACGAGGGCTTCCTGTTCTTCCCACTTTGCATTTCCAGAATCATAAGATTTAGAATCAGAGAGACATCTAAGGCCCATCTAAAAGGTCATCTGGTCCAACCCCCTCATTTTGCAAATGAGAAAAATGAAGCCCATAAGGGTTAATCAACCTGTCCAAAGTCACACTCATAATAAAGATTTGAAACCAGATTCTCTGATTCCAAATCCCATCCACTTTCTATCATACCATATTGCATTCATCCAGACTCCTTCATTTGTAGCAGGCCCCACAGTGATGGAGAATTCTCCCCTAATCCCTCAAACCTACTCCCTTCCTCCACCACCACCACATCCTTCTTCTAGCCCACCTTTAGTCATCTCCACATGCATCCTTCTGCACTGGGTAGAGTGAGCCTCTGCTTTCCCCTCTGCTCTACCACCCTGAAGTCCAGGTTAGATACCAGCTTTCATCCTCATGCACAGCAATCAGCCTGGGCACCAGTTGCTTAATACAAAATCATCTTGTTCTCTCTAAGTAATGGGACCCTCGAATCTCTTTCTTTCCTGAGTTCTCAGAAGCCTCTTGCTACTTTGGTTCTGGGGTGCTACAGACCAAAGCCACATGTCAGATATTTTCCTCTATTCTCTCCCCACCCACACACTGCTTTAGACTTCTCTTGCCTCATTCCCTGGTTTCTTATTAAGCCTTAATCACTGAATGGGCATTGCCTTAGTCAATCTGAAACCTGTTAAAGACCTTACCTTGAAAAGGCCACTACATCCTGGCCACCTCCAGTTGTTCTGATCTATATGTAGCTACTCGACCCAGATGGCTTTGGAGGAGAGAGTAAGGCTGGTGACTTTGCACAGCCCTCCCTCCCTTAAATCCAATTCACTTTCATGTCATGGCATCATCTCCCTGATGCCATAGTCCTCTTTGAGAATAAAGGACAAACAAATGATAACAACCCTGGTTTTCTAGTCCTTCTCACCTAGCTGGCACCCCTTCTTACCCTGCCAGGTGGAGTGATTATAGTGCCCATTCCAGCAGCAACACCATTTAGTCAGTTCCATAGATATGAAATTCGCAAGCCTGTCAGTACCATGGATGGAACCTATTCCTCTGTAAAAAGGTCTTGTCTGGGTGCTAGAGAAGTTGATTGAACAAAGAGGAGACAAAAAAAGAAACCAAAGGTAGAATAAATCAGGGATGACAATTGGAGGAGGTAAATTTTGATCCAGGATGAAAAGGAGGACAGCACCTGGTTTGACAAAGAGAAGAGGAAAGGGCATCCAGTTGAAGAGAACCTCAGTCTAAGACCATTCAGAGACAGGTCATGATCCTGCCCTACCTCCTCCACAGATAGCATCACTAAAGGACAAGAATGCATTAAGCACTAAGTGCCAGGCACTGTGCTAATTTCTGAGGGCACAAAGAATGGCAAAAATAATTTCTGCCCTCAAGGAGCTTACATTCTAATGAAAGAAACCCTCCTGAAACCTTCTCCATCCAAATTTCTTGTTTGAGGAACTGACATCCCCAACTCAGATGAGCTTCCTTCACCATCTGGGTCTTCTTACTGCTTTGTTCTCCAGTGGACCAAAGGCACTACTGGGGAATGAGATAAGAGAGAGGGGACCTGGATACAGTTTGGAATGGAAATGGAGTTAGAGTTAGTGAAAGGCATTACAAAGGTAAATAAACCCAAAGGATGCAATAGGAAAATTAGGATGCTCTTTGAGAAAGAATGTCCCTAGCATTTCATGATTAATAAACATTTATTGATATTAATTAATTGATATTAATAAACATTATGTGCTAGTTGCTGTCCAAGGTATAAAACATTTGGGCTCCTCTGGGTTAACGTCTTGGATCTGGAAGTCACATTCCCCCACCCTACTCTCAACCTTGGGGGCACCTTACAGCAAAATGCAATAGGTGGGGCCATGATCTCCATCCACTCCTGCCCAAAGAACAGAAGCAGTGGCCAGAATGTGACTATGCTAACCCCAAACCAGAATGCATAAACAGAGACAGTGCCACCCACACTCACCCAAACCACCACCCATTCCCCTCCCACACACCACATCATCCAGAACCCACACATGCCATTTTGGGGAGCGACAACTAGGTCCCCATTGTCACTCTCTAAGCTCCTACTCCAGATAACACTTCTGACACCCCACCCCACCACAGTTTGAGCATGGAGCCTAGTTTCCAAGCCGTGAAGATTGGCCCAGAGCAGCAGCTTCCTGTCAGCAAGATCACAGCCAAAGACCAGGAGCTCCAAGTGCAGAATTTCTCAGGGTAAGTGAGAAGCATCTTCAAACCTTCAAAGTCAGTCAGTAGATTCTGGTGGCAGGGATATTGCACAGCTAGATTAAGAGGAACTTAATCTAGACACCAGGAAGAACTCCTGACCAACTAGATCATTCAGTCCTGGGAGGTTGTGGAATCATGTTGCTGGGATATTTTTTTAAAATATGACATACAGCCATCCACCTAAGCTGGGCAAAGTGCTATCTTGCCTGAAGGGTGTTGACCTCAATATCAACCAGAATGGTGAAAAATAATGCATTTTCTAAGTGCCCCATGTTCCTTACTAAACTCTATAAATCTTCCATTTTCCTTGTACAGTTCTAGAGATTGATTATCTCAAGTACTCCCTGTCCGGTCACCCAGACCCACAAATAGAGGCCTCTTCAATGCTCTCAGATCTCACAGGGAAAAAAAAGATTCTGAAACTTTGATCAGGCACCAATTACCAGAATCACAGAATCTCAGCTTGGGAAAGGCCATTTAGTCCGACCCATACCTGACCAAGAATCTCCACTATACCATCTTCAACAAGCAGTATCCAGCTTTTTCTTAAAGACATTTGATGAGAGGCTGCCCATATTTGGATAGGTCTAATTGCTGGAAAAGAATTTCCTGAAATAGAGCCCAAATCCACTTCTTCATGTAGGAAACCACATGTATATAGAACCATTCCATCACAGGCATACAAATATACATACACCCCAATTCTGACCATAACACATGAATACACATCCCTGTTGTCTCTGTCTGTCTCTCTTTCTCTCTCCCTATCTCTTTCTCTCTCCTTCCCTTTTCCCCTTCTCTCTCCCTCCCCCCATCTCTGTCTATATCTGTCTGTCTTCCTGTCTCTTCTGTCTGTCATCTCTCCATGTCTCTCTCTTCCCTATCTCTCTCTGTCTCGCTCCCCCCCTTGTCTTCTTCCTTCTCTCTCTCTCTCTCTCTCTCTCTCTCTCTCTCTCTCTCTCTTTCACACACACACACACACAAACACACACACACTAATCTATGCTTAACTAGCAGAGAGTTCTTGAAAATAAGTCCTGTTACTGCTTCTGTTTTTTGTTGTTACACAGTGATGAACAGGTTGTGTGTATGCTTCTTCCCTCCCCAAGGATCAAATTTTAAAGAAGAAAGGACAGTAGTAGTCCAATCATTTATCTTAAATATAATTTTCAAAATAATGCATTTGCTCACCTTCCTGTTGGTAACCTAGGGAACCATCCTATGTATATTTCCCCAGGTTTTACCTTCCTCCTCCTTGCTGTCATGAGTTTGGTTGGCATATTACAAGGACAATTTCTTGTAAGATTACACTGAACAAGAACTGGAAGTTTGAAATATCATAGGATTATATTTTAGAGCTGGCAAGAACTTTAGAAGACATCCTCTACAGATAAGGAAACTGAGTCCCAGAGAGGTTAAGTGGAAAGAGAAGTCAAGTAGAAATATATATATTTTTTTATTTTACATGTATATTTTACATATATATATATGTATGTATGTGTATATATATACATATGTATGTATGTGTATATATATATATATGTATGTATGTGTATATATATATATATGTATATATATATATATATATGAGTAAAACTGGTCTGCAGCATGGTGCAATGGAAAGAATGCTGCATTTGTATTCAGAACACCTGGGTTTCAATTCCAGAACTTTGATTTATCACCTGTGTGACCCTAGACAAGTCCCTTAACCTCTAGGAACCTCATCTTTAAAATGAGGAGGTTCAACTTTTAAGATCCCTCTAAATTCTAAATCTATATTCCCATGCCCAGAGGACAAAACTAGGTAGAAGCTGCAGAAAGGTAGATTTTGGCTCATGCTAAGGAAACAGTTCTGTAACAGCTATCCAAAAGTGGGTGGCTGCCTTGGAAAATAGCTGGAAGTTTTTAGGTAAAATATGAATTACTTCTCATTGGAGATGATATAGTTAGATATGGGTTAGACTGAATGGCTTCTGGGATTAATTCCAACTCTTAAGATTCTCTGAAGCTCTGAATGGATTAAGTCAAACAGAACCTGGAAGCCTAGACCTCTAGACCTGGCCTGGCAAGATACAGAAGCCAAGCCCACCTATATATGTGCATTTTCCAGGCCCTGCCTCTCAATGTCCTTGGTTTCCCTTCACTGTGCTGGTGAGTATAAAGCCATCTCAGAGAGGTCAGAAATGAATGAACTTAGGCCAGGGCTGACCAAAGGAGAAATTAAAGAATTACTTTTTTTTTTTCATTCCTATTTCCCCCACACTTCTAACTTTGTTTCTTTTAGATTTTGGATTTGCAAGGCAAGGTTTTCTGCATGCTTAATGCTAAGCCTTCCTCCATTCCCAGCCCTGCTCCCCAGCCCAAATTCAGGAAAGGCTCTCACAGAGCTTTGGAGAATGAGACTAGAAGGTTAGGGGCCAGACACATCTGCTTTGCTACCGTCAACTTTCAGTTACCCAGGGTCAGATTCAAATTCAAGTTCAACAAAGCATTTTAACTAACTTAACTAAAAGCCTACCATGTGTGAGATGCTAGGGAATAGATACAAAGACAAAAAAAAAACCTTGCCTGCCCTTAAGGAAATTACTTTCCATTGGATTGTCCATATTCAATTTAAGTGTTATTTTTAATACTATGTTATTAGCTGCGGCAATATTTTGTAAAGCATTTAGCATGGTACCTCGCACATAGTAGATACTATATAGATGTTAGTCATGATGATGATCATGATGATGACGATAGCAATGATGATGATATTAGACACCACAAGTAGAATGTAAGACATATCCCCTGCCCATCAGGGCTTACAAGGTACTTGAGGGAATAGGATAGATAAAGATATATTTTTTAAAAAATACAAGGCAGTGTATGCTAAGTGGTTCAGGGATACAGAAGAAGGAAAGGTGGCTCTTTGTTGGAGAGGTAGGAGAAGACCTTGGAGAGGGGCTAAAGCTTGGACTGGTCCTTAAAGGATGAGCAGAACCTGAATAAGTAGGGTAAAAATGGGAGGCTATTTAGAACCTGGGAACCCCAATGAGCAAAGCTCAGAGGGGATAAGGAGGGTGGTGACTAGACCAGCTTGGCCAGAGTAAAGAATTGCTTAGGAGAAGAGTAGAGACAGATCTCAAAAAGCTTTGAATCCCAAGTTAAAGAGTTTGGAACTTAATCCATAGACAATAGGGAGCTATTGGAGTTTTTTTCATGAGGTATTGAAGAGCCATGGACAGATCTGCATTTTAGGAAACTGAATATGGCTAGGGAATTAGGATGAGTTGGAGGAAAGAGATATGGAGGGACCACTTAGGTGGTTAGTAAAATAACCTGGGTGTGCAGTGATGAATTACTGAACTTGGAACTAGGGTGGCAGTAGCAGGAATGGAAGGAAAAAGACAGATGGAAGACTCATGATAAAGGACAACTGTAGAGAATCTAATGATGGCTAGATGTTGGAGAGTAGGAAGAGTGACTGGGGGCCATGAGGTAGGATCTAAGTCCTATCCATAACAAGGAATAGGTTTTCTGCTCTCTGTGATGTCAACATACCTGTGGCAAGGTAAAAAGTCTGCCATATTTGGAGTCTGAGACATGATTCAATCCAAGCTTTGATGCTTGTGATCTGTGGGACTTCGGGAAGTCACTGCATCTGTGTAGACCTCAGCTTCCTCAACTGTAAAATGGCGGGTGGGGGAGCGAAATTCATTAGGACGAGCTCTAAGGTCACTTCCAACTCCATATTTATGACAGTATGTTCTCCCTTTCTTCTCGCCTTCTTCTCTGGACCTTCACTGGGGGCATACAGTGTACGGAGAGAACCTGCTGGGCCCCCAGGGGATGGGTGGGCAGGAAACATTTGTGAAGATTTTGGCCCTGGCAGGTCAGCATTCAGCACCACAAAATTCACTTCTGTGGTGGCTGCATACTGGACCGCTACTGGATCCTCACCGCTTCCCACTGCTTCAGGTAAGGCCCCATCCACTTCCCAGAGGGAGTAGGGACCTCAGTATCTGGAGTGCTTGGACTCCTTGCTCTTTTTTTTTTAATATAAATTTATTTGTTTTTAGTTTTCAACATTTACTTCCACAAGATTTTGAATTCCAAATTTTCACCCCATCTTGCCCCTCCCCCACCCCAAGATGGCATACATTCTGAATACCCCTTCCCCTAGTCTGTCCTTCCTTCTGTCTCTCTCCCCCCTTCTCTTATCCCCTTCCCCTTCTATTTTCCTGTAGGGCAGGATAGATTTCTGTACCTCATTTCCTGTATTTCTTATTTCCCAGTTGCATGTGGAAACATTTTTTTTAAACATGTGTTTTTAAAACTTTGGGTTCCAAATTTTCTCCCTTCCTCCCACCCCACCCACCCTCATTGAAAAGGCAAGCAACTCAATATAGGTTGTACATGTGCAGTTATGCAAAACACTTCCATAGTAGACATGTTGTGAAAAACTAACTCTATTTCCCTTAATCCTATCCTGCTCCCCCCATTTATTCTATTCTTTCTTTTGACCCTGTCCCTCCTCAGAAGTACTTCCTTCTGATTACCCCTTTCCCAATCTGCCCTTCTCTCTATCATCCCCCTGCTCTCTTGTCCCCTTCCTCCCTATTTTCCTGTAGGGTAAGACAGATTTCCATACCCAATTGAGTGTGTATGTTATTCCCTCCTTAAGCCAAATCCTATGAGAATAAGATTCCCTCATTTCCTCTCACCTTCCCGTTTCCCCTCCACTGTAAGAACCTTTTCTTGTCTGTTTTGTGCAAGATAATGTACCCCATTCTACCTCTCCCTTTCTCCTTCTCCTAGTATAATTCTCTCACCCCTTAATTTTATTCTCCAGATATCACCCCTTCATCTTCAACTCACCCTGTGCCATCCATCTATCTATCTATCTATCTATCTATCTATCTATCTATCTATCTATCTATCTATCTATCTATCTATCATACATATAATTTTTCCCCTCCCACTACCCTAATACTGACAAAGGTCTCATGAGTTATAAATATCATCTTTCCATGCAGGAATGTAAACAGTTAATAAGTCTCTTATGATTTCTCTTTCCTGTTTACCTCTTCATGTTCCACTTGAGTCTTGTATTTGAAAGTCAAATTTTCTATTCAGCTCTGGTCTTTTCATCAAGAATGCTTGAAAGTCCTCTATTTCACTGAATGACCATTTTTTCCCCTGAAGGATTATACTCAGTTTTGCTGGGTAGGTGATTCTTGGTTGTAATCCTATCTCCTTTGCCCTCCAGAATATATATTCCATGTGCCTGGTCCTTAATGTAGAAGCTGCTAAATCTTGTGTTATCCTGATTGTGTTTCCACATACTTGAATTGTTTCTTTCTGGGCTTGCAATATTTTCTCCTTGACCTGGGAACTCTGGAATTTGGCTACAATATTCCTAGGAGTTTTCCTTTGGGGATCTCTTTCAGGAGGAGATCTGTGGATTCTTTCAATTTCTATTTTGCCCTCTGGTTCTAATATCAGGGCAGTTTTCCTTGATAATTTCTTGAAAGATGATGTCTAGGCTCTTTTTTTGATCATGGCTTTCAGATAGTCCAATAATTTTTAAATTCTCTCTCCTGGATCTATTTTCCAGGTCAGTTGTTTTTCCAATGAGATATTTCACATTGTTTTCTAATTTTTCATTCTTTTGGATTTGTTCTACTGTGTCTGATTTCTTATAAAGTCATTATCTTCCAATTGCTCTATTCTAATTTTTAAGGAAGTATTTTCTTCAGTAAGCTTTTGGACTTCCTTTTCCATTTGGCCAATTTTTCTTTTTAGGGCATTCTTCTCCTCATTGGCTTTTTGGACCTCTTTTGCCATTTGGGTTAGGCTATTTTTTAAGGTGTTATTTTCTTCAGTATTTTTTTGGGTCTCCTTTAGCAAGCTGTTGACTTGTTTTTCATGATTTTCTTGCATCACTTTCATTTCTCTTCCCAGTTTTTCCTCTACTTCTCTTACTTGCTTCTCAAAATCCCTTTTGAGCTCTTCCAAGGCCTGGAATGATTCATATTTTTCTTGGAGGCTTTGGATGTGGGAGCTTTGACTTTGTTGTCTTCTTCTGGTTGTATGTTTTGATCTTCTTTGTCACCAAAGTAAGATAATATAGTCTGACTCTTTTTGCGAGGTTTGCTCATGATCCCAGCCAACTACTTGAGTTTTAAACTCTTTGTTAAGGTAGAAGTCTGCTTCCAATGTGGACAATGTACTGTCCCAAGCTTCGGGGGTTTGTATAGCTGTTTTCAGACAGACTTCTAGTGACCTGTAAGTTTTCAGTTCTTCCAAGATGGTATGATAAGGGTCGAGGTGTTTACTCTTTTCCTGGCCTGTGCTCTGGTCTTTGAGTGACAGGCCACAACCAGTCTTTTCTCTCTTGGAATTGTGAGGAGGGATTCCTCTTCACCGCCACTACAAGCTCCACTGTGCCAGCACTCCTCCTCACCCCAGGACCGCCACCCAGGACTATGACCCAGATCCAAGCATGGGCAAAGCAAGAGATTCCTGCCTCAGCACTGGCAGAGAGATCCCTGCAGTGCCCCTCTGATCAGCCCCTTGATTCCCCCTCAGTCTGTGGGTGGGAAGCTCAGGACGCAGCCACCCCCCGGAGCCCTTGCTTAGCACTCTGCACTCTAGAACTGGCTCTGACCTACCTCTTCTCTCACCGAAAAAACAGACTTTTCCCACTGACCTTCTAAGTTGTCTTTGGCGTTCGTGGATTGAGGAGTCTGGAAACTGCCACAGCTGTCCGCGATTCATTCCTCTGAGGCCTGCTCCAGGTTCACTGAGGCCTGTGCGCCCTGTGCGCCCTGTGCGCCCACGCTGAACTGAGCTCCTCTCCCCGCCTGCTGCAATATGCCTTTCCGATCAACCATCCAGGCTGTCTTGGGCTGGAAATTTGTTTTACTCTGTCTTTTTGTGGGTTCTGCTGCTTTAGAATTTGTTTAGAGCCATTTTTTATGGGTATTTGGAGGGGTTTGGGGGACAGCTCAAGCAAGTCACTGCTTTCACTCCAACATCTTTTGGACTCCTTGCTCTTGAATTAAGGGTCTGCCTTCTTTCTCTGTCCTCCTTTATCTGGAAGTCTTATTACCAGGGAGGGGGAGCTAGGTAGAGCAGTGGATACAGAGAAGTGTGGAGTCAGGAAGACCTGAGTTCGAATCTGGCTTCAGACACTTACTAACTAGGGGATTGTGGACAAGCCACTTAACCCTGTTTGCCTCAGTTTCATCATTTGTAAAGGGAGCTGGAGAAGGAAATGGCAAACTACTCCAGTATCTTTGCCATGAAAACCCAAAAATGGGGTCACAAAAAGTGACATACAACTGAACAACAAATTGTCAGGGAAGGATCATCTCCTCAGAGTAACAGACCAACGACTCAGTTCTGTTGGATTTGACTCAACATTTCTGAAGTGCTCACTGTGTGCTGGGAATTGTTCTAAATACTCAGAGGAGATGAAAGCTTAGATAAGACATTGACAAGACATACCTTGCCTACACAGAATTTCCAATCTAGTAAGGAAATATGACATGTGCACAAATAACCATGATGTGAAATAATATCGCCAAGTCATTGCTCCACTCAGAAACTTTCCGTGACACCCTGAGTCCCTGAGCATTCCACCCCAGAGACCTGTAAACAAGAGAGAGAGGGCCCTTGGAGGCCAGGGCCATGTGTTTGCATTTTCCAGGCCCTGCCTCTCAACGTCTCTCGTTTCCTTTCATTGTAATGGTGATGAAACTTCTGGGGAATCTAGAAGCATGTGCACAGAAGGGATTCTGGAGACCAGTGATTTCCCACTAGGGCAATGGCCACTCCTTCTAGTTCATGACCCCTATCCCCAGGAGAGTGACTGCAACTATAATCTGTATATCCCTCAAAAGACTTTACTGACTTCCTATTACCTACAGAGTACAATATAAACTGCTTAGCTCGACATTTAAGGTCGTCCTGTCTTTCTATATTTTTTGTTCAGCTCTGTGCTTTTCATTAAAGCCAGACTGGGCTACTCACAGTTACCCAGTCTTAACCTTGTATATCTATAGTTTACCATCATTTGCAAAAGCCACCCCTTGCTCCAGGAACATACCTCCTATTGAAGTCACAACCTGTCAAAATCCTCATCCCTCAAGGTCCTGCTTGGGTGCCACCTCCTCCATGAAGCCTTCCTTGGTATCCTCTCCCCACCTCTGAAAGTGATCTCTCCCTCTGCAGATTTTCTTAGAATATTTCATCCAGCTTTCACCTTTGCCCTGTCTCATTCTACCCCTGTACATATAATAGTTATTTGTAAATGTGTTGTACTGCCATCATTAGAGTGTACGGTCCCTAGGGGTAGATGCTTGAGGAGATTAAGTTGACATTTATATAGTGTTTTAAAGTGTGTGAAGCACTTTATACACATTATCTCACTTGATCTTCAAAGCAATCCCGTGAAGTAGTTATAATACCACAGGTATTATGTTCCTATTTTGAAGATGAGGAAACTGAGGCCCAGAGTTATCTATAGTCACATAGACACTATGTATTGGGTGTGCATGAGCATGTGTGTGTGTGTGTGTGTGTGTGTGTGTGTGTGTGTGTGTGTGCGCGCGTAAACAAAGGGTAATTGTGCGGAGGCAGGGAGAAGACAGTAGCTACTAAAGGAAACAACAGGCTTTGATAAAGAAGGAGTGCATTCCAGGTACGAGGGAAATTTCCTTAGGGTTTTTTTGTGGCACTCCCATGTCATTATTCTACTCTAATTCATTTTGCAATATTCTTGCACATCTTGTCCTCTACACATACACACACACACACACACACACACACACACACACACATGCACAGACTGTTGGCTCCTTGAAGATAGGCACACTGAGCCTAATTAGTCCAACAAATGTACAATGAATTGAACAGGTGCTCCACGCCTCACACCAGCACCATTCACAATCTCAGAAAGGCCAAGCTCCTTTGGAGAAAAATCAGCTTCTTTGATCAGGACAAAGTTTGTGGCAGGGTACCTTGCCTCCTTCCCAGAGCTACAATGAGTCATTTGATCTCATCTGAGGCAAGTGGCACAGAAGGCACCCTCTGAAGCTGCTGGGAGAGCTGCCTAGGGGGAGGGGAAGACTGAGCCCAGGAGAAGCTGACCTGGGATGCAGCCACCGTTTTGCCATCTGGGGGCTTCCTATTTTAAGGCCAGTTAACTAGGTGCTAGGATCAGTTGTTTCAACGCTGCTGGTGGACTGGCTGCTGGTAGAACTATTAGCACCCTCTGAGTTCCAGCTTCTTGGGGGCAAAGTTCTTGGTCACTCTGCTCCTCCCACCCCTGGTACCCCTGTCCCCTTCTCCCCTTCTTCCCAGGAACCCAGTCTGGGGCAAAATGAGAACCACCCTGACTCCTGCTTGTCTCTGTCCTCAGGACCTATTCCGAGGTGGCCCACTGGAAAATAGGCGGGCACTGACCATCTATACTCTACACACCCATACTTAGACGTGGATAAGATCTTTGTCTTCCAGTTCAACAATTTATACCCCAGAGAGAATGACTTGGCCCTGATCAAGCTGAAAAAGCCCCTTGTCATGTCAGATGAGAGCCAGTGCCCGAGACACAGGATATCAGGTACAGTATACCTAGTCCAAAGGTAAAACCGTCTTTGCCAAGAAAATCCCAAATGAAGTCACAAAGAGTCAAACCAGACTGAAACAACTGAGCAACATCATAAGGGGGGGTTTTGTTTGTTTTTTAGGCAATTGGGGTTAAGTGACTTGCCCAGGGTCACACAGCTAGTGTCAGGTGTTTGGTCTGAGGCCAGATTTGAACTCAGGTCTTCCTGACTTCAGGGCCAGTGCTCTAACCACTGAGCCACCTAGCTACCCCAAGCATCATAAGGTTTACAAAGCACTTTACAAATATTATCTCAGTTTATCCTCACAACAGCCCTGGGAATAGGGTGCTATTACTATCCCCATTTTACAGAGGAATAAACTGAAACAGATAGAGATGTAGTGATTTGCCCAGGATCACACACCTAAGTAAGTATCTGAAGCTGGATTTGAAGCTCCTCCTAACTCCAGGGCCCACACTCTCTCCACTTCACCTACCTAGCTACCCCACCCTTTGTGGCCTTGGGCAAATCATTCTGTCCCTTTGATCATCAGTTTCCAAAGAATGACTTGGTGAATAGGGGGACTATCTTGAAGTCAAGAAGAAGTTCAAATTGTGCCTCTGACCCTAGGTAAGTCCTTTAGGCAATTTATGCCTAAAGCAACTCTCTAGAGATTACTGTCATAGATGGGTTGTAACCTGCATTAGTGAAGGAAGTTCCTTTGATCCTCAACTCTCAATTTATTTGCCAAGTAGGGATAATTAATTTTGCCAGTCCCTGAGCCCAGTGGAGGATTGAACTTTCCCAGGAAACGTTAAAAGCCTTGCTCAATCCCTCTTATTTTTTTTAAAAGCCTGGTTCACATGGGGAAACTACTTCCCCCACTATCATCACTGTCTAAATGCATTTTATTAAGGGGCCTCTTCTAGCTGGGGTGGAAACCAAAAGTCTGTGCACAATCCCTGCCTGTTGGGAGCAGATGGTCTAAGGGAATCCCAGCCATTCCCCAGGCTGCCAGAACCAGCCAGATTAAAATAGAATCCGAAAGTGTTTAACAAAATAAATAAAAATACAATGAAACATAGATATGTTAATATATGGTTTTCTAAGTCAATATGTGGCTCACGGGGCCTAATGTATGTTTTAGAGGATCCTGTTTCTGTTTGAGTTTGACACCATAGTCACAGACAGAAACAGAAAAGGCTAAATTAAACAAGTTTGTTACTGAGCACCTTCCGGGCTGGGCAGCTAGGGGTGCAGTAGATAGAGCGCCAGGCCTGGAGTCAAGAAGACTCCTCTTCCTGAGTTCAGATCTGGCCTCAGACACTAGCTGGGTGACCCTGGGCAAGTCACTTAATCCCTTTACCTCAGTTTCCTCTTCTGTAAAATGAGCTGGAAAAGGAAATGGCAAACTACCCCAGCATCCTTGCTAAGGAAACTCCAAATGGAGTCATGAAGTGTCAGATATGACTGAATAACAACATTCTGGGTACAAAGGTCAGTGCTGGACACCGTAGGTCATAGTAAAGTGTCTGTCTTAGCCCTGACCTCAAGGACCTTGCCATCTTACTGCATATAGAAGTGCGTGTATGACCTGAACCAGTAACCAGCCCAAGGTCCCATCTCCCTTTTCTCCACTAACTTCAGCAGAGGCCACTGTGGTGGATACAAGATTAGAAAACTGAGGCATGGCTATTGACTCTGCTTCTCACTGCCTGTGTCACTATGGGCTATCACAGAACTGTCTAAACCCCAAGTTCTTCCTAGTCCACCTAGGGGTGGTTTAGACCTTAGATGGTCTCTGAGTTCCTTACCAACTCTAGATCCTATGACCTCCTCCTGTCCCTTTGCAAAGAACTCACCTCCACCAGGAAGTCTTCCCTAATTAACCTTCCATAACTCTAGTGACTCCATAGCACATCATACAGCTTGCAGGTGTTTGTCTATAATGCTTTGGGGTGCATGATTATTTTTTCTGTCTCCTTCATCTAACCCTGTAGGGCTGGTATAGATGAGGCATCTAAATAGAGCGCTATTGTGAACGCTCTTCATATGACTATTCAACAATACTGGACCTACAGGCTCCAAAACCAGGGCTTTGGAGCGCAAACATCCTTTGGAGGGCTCGACTCAGCCAATTCTCTCTCTCTCTCTTTCTCTCTCTCTCTCTCTTCTCTCTCTCTCTCTCTCTCTCTCTCTCTCTCTCTCTCTCTCTCTCTCTCTCTCTCTCTGTGTGTCTCTCCTTCCCAGCCTCCTTTCATTCATTCTTTCTGTCTCTCTGCCTTACTCTCTCAGTCTCTCCCTCCCTGCTCTTTCTCCCTGTCTCTATCTCTGTCTCTCTCCCTCTCTCTCTCTCTCCTTCCTAGCCTCCTTTCATTCATTCTTTCTGTCTCTCTGCCTCACTCTCTCAATCTCTTCCCCCTCTGCTCTCGGTCTCTCCTTGCTCCTTCCTTCCCTCACTTTTCTACTTCATTCTCTCCATCTCTTCCTTCCTCCTCTCCCCTCTTTCTCCTTCCTTCCTCCCTATTTCTCTTTCCCCCTTCTATTCTCTCTCTGTGTATCTCACTGTCACTGACTCTCTTTCTCTTCCCTTCCCTCTCCTTCCTCATGTTTCTGTCTGTCTGACTCCTTGTCTCATTCTTTCCCTCTCTCCCTCACTGCCTCCTCTGCTCCGTGTCTCTCCTGCTACAGATACAGTCAGGCCCATCTGTCTGCCATTCTTTGATGAGGAGCTGGCTCCAGACACCCCACTCTGGATTATAGGCTAGGGTTTCATAAAAGAGACAGAAGGTAATTTCTTGGGCCCTCCCATCAGCAGGACTCTCCCAAAGTCACCTCCACAAACTGCTTTTATGGACATCTTGGGGGTGGGGGTGGCAAGGATTGACAACCCCAGAGAGACTTGCAAACCTTTATGAACAGAACCCACTTAATGTCCTCTGAAGTGTGTATAGCCTTATAATGTGTGTGTGTGTGTGTGTGTGTGTGTGTGTGTGTAGTATTTATACTAAGAGGGATGAAGACAACACAGGGAGAATTTCTCAATGTAAAACTGCAGTGGGTAACTGAAAGAAGCCATGGCCCCCTTCTTCTATAAAGATTTCCCCAAGAAAATTCAGACAGCCCTGCCTAAAAAGCAGGAGCATGGATAAAATGACTTCCCAGGGTCTCCTATATCCTAAGAAATTTGGGCTGCCTCCCCATGTCCCTAAGATAATGGGTGGTCAGTGGATGGAAATTTGAAGGTGGAAATGTACATGTTTGCTACCTCCCAGGGAAGTTTTCCAAAACCCTGCAGCAGGCAGAAGTCCAACTCATGATAGAAATCAATGCAACCACCAGGACACATATTTTGGTAGCGTCGCCAAGAACATGCTTTGTGCTGGTGTCCCTGGTGGCGGTGTCGATTCGTGCCAGGTGGGGTGCTATAGGAGGTGCCATGTTTCCTGAAAAATACCAGTGTTGCCTTGGACATAGAATAAGGGAGATATAGGCTTTAAATTCTTAACTCCAATACTTATGACCTACATGACCCTGGGTAAATCTCGGATCAGGATTGATGTCTTGGATTGCAGCATGTCACAGTGGAAAGAATGCCAGGTTTGGAGTCAGAGGAACTGGGTTCAGATGCAGGCCATGCTGCACACAACCTGTGTGGCCTCCTCAGGCAACTCACTTCAATTCTCTGGGCCTCAGTTCCCCAATCTGTAAAATGAGGAAATTTAACTCCATTGAACAGACCTCTAAGGACATTTAAGGCCTGCTCCAGTTTTAAATCTATGATCCTAAGATTGAAAGAACACAAAGGACCAGAAGACTGGAAGTTATAGTGAGAGTAAAGAGAGGTAAAGAAGGATTGGGGTAGTAGAAGGTACTGAAGGACAGGAGATTTTAGGCAGAGAGGGCAATTACAGAATTCAGATTCTTAGAAGTTGAGGGGTTTCCAAGTCGCGCCCAAGTGTGGTATGTAACCGCTCTGTGGAGTGGCAATTCAGTGAGTCATGGAGATAAATGAATGAAAAAATAAATGAGCAAATGGCATTTTCTAAGCCCTTCTTATGTCCTAGGCACTGGAGTTATGAAGAGAAGAGCAGAGTTCTTCTTAAGGAACTCATATAATAGTAGGAGACGATGCTTATGGATTTCAGCTGCAAGTCAAATGGAAAGGTCCCATGGTCCTTAGCAGCAAAGTAGATGGTAGTGCATCTTCTTTACTGTCATTTCCATTGACAAAATCATATCTGTTTCTGATGTTGAATCATTTGACAGTGCCAAGGGCTTTGGTGGTGATAGATGTCATAGGAATTGAGCAGGCTGATGAACATGGAGGAGAAGGTATTAAAGTGTCAAACAAATTCGAGTTACTGTACTGACGTGATCATTATTAGAATGGTCAACAAGGTAGACAAAGAGAAGGATGTTGGGGCTTGGGATAGAAAGAAAAACTGTGAGCCAGGCACCAAAACCATTAAGGAAGGTGGGAAAGAGGTTGGTCCTAGGGAATTATCAACAAGGATGTGGACAGTGTGGTATAATTGGATGGCCATGAACTTTGGCAGAATGTTTGGTAAGTGTTTGATAAGTGATGGTAGCCAAGCAGGAGTCAGAAGGGACAGGGAACAAGGGAAATGCTGATCTCTCTTGTCTCTGAGGGTCATGACAGGAGTGACCAACTTTGGAGATGATGCATAATTTCATGCAGGTGGTTGGGGTGGGAGGAGCCTAACTATTCACTACTCCAAGACACTCACAAATGGTATTCTGCAGGTGCCTTCAACAGCAGTAACTTACATACAGTGGAGGTTTAATCAATGGTTGTCAAATTGATATTGTGCACTCTAAATGAGTGGTACAAACCATAAATTTTGGGAAAGTTCAGAGGACAGGATGGGAGGACAGTATTATAGAGTATAACACAATGTTAGAGTGGGAAGGGAGTTTACAGATTATTTGATCCAGCCTCCTCATTTAATAGATGAGAAAGCTGAGACCCAGAGAGGCAAATCTCTGAGAAATTATTTGCCCAGAGTCACACAACTTAATAAATGGGAGAGTCAAGATTCATCTTCTGAGGCCCAAGTCTACCCGATGCTGTGCCCACTGACCTTACTGAGCCATTTCCCTTCCTTCTTCCTTACTATTCAGGGAAGGCTTAAGGGGTTGCACGTGGAGGTGGGAAGGCAGGGTTGATCTGGGAAGGGTGGAGAGGATTAGTGTAAGCAGAGAACAGGGCAAGGCATTCTAGGTTAGAGAAGGAGCATGTTTAAAAACATTTGCTGTGGTTCTCCTTGTGATTCAGGGCACACAATCTTGACATGGCTGGCCACGGTTAGAAGTATATAGTTTATACACTTGACACTTACTAGCTGTGTGACCCTGGGCAAGTCACTTAACCCCAATTGCCTTAAAAAAAAAAGTATATAGTTTATGACTGAGGAACAATTGAGCTAACTGACCCATATAGGGATCCAGCCTCTATACCTAGAATCCAGCCTTGGCCTCATGGCTAGTAAAGAAAGAAAGTTGGTGCTCTTAATGAGACCTCAAGTGAATAATTACACCTCAGTTAGAGGGACATATTAGTATAATCCATCTTATCTTCTTAGAGCTGAGAAATCATCTTCCAAAAAGATGTTTGCCCAGCCTCAAGGCAGAAAGAAAAACACACAGTGAGAACTATGGCCTAAAACAGCTAGAGGACTTCCCAAGCTCACCTTTTGTTTTGAGATCCTGGGAGGACACTGAAGTTGACATTGGTGCCGCATGAGAACACGCATGACACCTCTCCTCATCCCACAGATTCTCCAAGTCCCACAGAGGATCTCCCGTTTGCTTTGTATCAGCCAGCTCATGCGGAGGGTGAAGAAGAAGCTAGGGATAAAAAGGATCTGAATCTAAAGGTTTCTCAACAGTGGATGGGGGGGGTGGGGATCAGGGAATGGGGAGACTTTCACGATGCCTATCCTTCCTGGAAGGTCACCCCATTCTGTTCTCTCCCAGGGTGACAGTGGTGGGCTCTTAATGTACTTCAAGGAAAGGTGGAAGATAGTAGGCATCATGAGCTGGGGTTATGGCTGTGGGTAGCACAACATCCCAGGTGTATATACCTGAGTCAGTTTCTTTCTCAACTGGATCTATAACATCCGGAAGGTAGGTATACATGACTTTCCAATTCACTACCTCCTGAACCCCTTCTAACTTCTCAGCTATGGCCACTGTGAAACACAGCCAGCCTTTAGCTGGCTGACTGTATGAATTTTAAATATTCCAGGAAGATTTCCATCCAAAAAGCACCTAGCCCATGTCAAAATTTCCACCATTAGAGCTTCATTTCTCTTTGTTAAATATACCTCTCTCTCAATAAGAGGTGACACAGTAATTTATGCTCCAACCTGAGAACAAGTTTTGATTGAGGGGAAAGGGCATGAGAACAGTAAAGACTAGGGATGGAAAGGTGGGTGAAGTATCTAGAAAGGAGAGGCCTGGAAGAGAGACTTTACATATTAACAACTAAAGCTATCCTGCTAGGTGGCAGAGTAGTAGAAGAGCACCAGGCCTGGAGTCAGGAAGACTCATTTTCCCAAGTTCAAATCTGGCCTCAGACACTTAATAGCTGTGTGACCTTGGTCAATTCACTTAATCCTATTTGCCTCAGTTTCCTCAACTATAAAAATGAAGGAAATGACAAACCATTCCAGTATCTTTCCCCAAGAAAACCCCAAAAGGAGTCATGAAGAGTCAGACAAAATTGAATGAGAACAAAGCTGTCCAATCAGATCATTTATTAAGCACATACTATGTGTCAGGAACTGTGCTAACTGCTGGGGATATAATTAATAAAAAGAAAAATGGTTCCCTGCCCTCAAGGAGCTTACAAATCTAATGGGAGGAGTAGTTGTTCAGTTGTTCTCAGTAGTGCCCAGCTCTTTGGTGACCCCATTTGGGGTTTTCTTGGCAAAGACACTGGAGTGGTTTGCCATTTCCTTCTCCAGCTCATTTTGCAGATGAGGAAACTGAGGTGCACAGGGTTAAGTGACTTGCCCAGGGTCACACAGCTAGTAAGTGTCTGAGGACAGATTTGAACTCAGGAAGATGAGTCTTCCTGACTCAAGGCCTGGCACTCTATCCACTGCACCACCACCTGCCTGCCTCTAATGAAAGGGGACAATGCACCAAAGAAGGCAGGAGAGGGGGAGGGGAGGAGCAGGACAAGGGGTATCTTTTTCTGTGGACTTGAAACCCAGTAGAGAAGCAGGTACAGAGTGGACTGAGCCAAAATGTCCAGTTTCTCCCTTCTAGGGAAGAGTTTGGTATTCCACCCTCCAGCCCTCCAATCAGAATGGAGAGGAGACCGAGGGAGGTGGTATCCACCAAGGTTTGGGTTAGCAGCATGGTGATGGGTTTAGAGGACAGGGGCTTAACTTGGGAAGGGCATCTTGTTTCCTGGAGCTGAAGCTGGGAGGCTCTACAAATACAGAGTGGATTGATCTCAGAGTCTGGGGTAGATCCCAGAATGTCTATTCCAGAGTGCAATGAGCTTTGTTGGGCAGTCACGGATTCCCTATTGCTCAGGTCTTCGAATAAAGACAGGATGGCCACGTGCTGGGTACCTGATAAAGAAGATTTATATTTAGGAAGGGGTAGGACTAGATGGCCTCTTAAATACTCTCCAACCACGAGACCCTCTGTCTCTTTGAAACCTCACAGGGGGGCAGCTAGGTGGCACAATGGATAAAGCACTGGCCCTGGCGTCAGGAGGACCTAGTTCAAATCCTGCATCAGACACTAGCTGTGTGGCCCTGGGCAAGTCACAACCCTGACTGTCTCCAAAAAGAAAAAAAAATTTAAAGAAAGAAATTTCACAAGGTTTCCTAGGACCAGCTCTATCAGAAAGGCTCTAGTATTCTCTCTCTCTCTCTCTCTTCTTCCCTCCCCAGAAATGAAGCTTCTGCTGTTGTGAAGATTCCTTCCGGGAACAGTTTTGCCCATTCTCATCCCTAATCTCCTTCTCATCACAACTAGGAGTTTCCACCCTGAGCAGGATCTCATTTCTCAAAGAAGAGTGCTTCCTTCAGACATTTCAAGGCTTCCTTAAAGCAGCTGAGGGTCCTGGGTTCAAATGCCATGCCCTAAAGAAGGAATTTAATGGCCACCATCTCAACCACTAACTCCTGGCCCCTCTCCCAAAGGAGAGCAACCCCCCTGAGCAGAGAAGTGTTCTGGGCCTCCGATTTCCAGAGTGCTCCCTCAGTGTGGGGAGTGTTGAACAGTTGTTCCCTCTTGTGGGCTTCGATCTCCCCTGATAGGGTACGTGGAGAGAAAAGGGGACCTCCCTAATGACCTGGTCACCAAGGCAGAGAGACCAGTTATGATATCCCCGGACAGATGAGGACAAGGGCGTTCCCTTACTGCTGTGGAGTTTGTGAATATTGCTGACATCTTCATTGCTTTCACAAGAAAATACAAGGCCTTTGGGATGCATGGCTGTCATCGTGGTCTGTACTACTCTAGTATTATTATCACACTGGGCACCCAGTCTAAGGCTTACCTTGGTAGGAATGTGAGAACCTAAGAAAGCACTCTGACTCATCTAACTTTTGTTAGTGTGTCAGTGATCATAGGTTCAAGGAGAGGATTTGGTCCAGAATTGTAGTTTCACCATGATTAGGAACTCATGGTATGAAAAGCCCCTCCACTAGGGCAGATGAGCAGCTGATCAGTAACTATTGGTCTGAGAAAGTTACCTAAAGCATTGAGAAGTTTAATGACCTTTCCATGCTCACACAGCTAGCATATGTCATAGGCAGGACGATCTCAGATCTTCCTGACTCCAAGGCCAGCTCTGTATGCACTGCCACATGCTGACTATTAGGGGAGACAACCACAGCACTCAGAACTGCTGGGAGATAGGACCCGCTGTCAGTGGTGGGCTAATGAAGCTGGGGTTACCCATCCAGGGCCTCTGCTGTCATCCCTTCCTCTCTGCCCTTCTCCAGGTAGCATTTCGTAGTGGAAAAAAATCTAACAATGAGAGTCAAGAAACCTGGATTCTAGTCCTGTCTTTGCTCAATGACTTTGAATGACTCGATTCACCTGTTGAGGTCTATTTACTTATCTGTTAAATGAAGGGAAAGGGTTGGTTGATCTTCAGCTCTAAACCTGTATTAGGCTGACTAAAGAAAGAGATGACCTATGAGTTTGAGATTTCCCTTATATGGGATCATTTGGACCAGCGAGAGCCATTGAGTTGTAGGATGTCATGGAACCCTAAGAAATCCTCAGAGATGATCAGGTCCAAGTGTGTCTCTTTCTATCTCTCTGTCTCTGCCTCTCTCTCTCTCTCTCTCTCTCTCTCTCTCTCTCTCTCTCTCTCTCTCTCTCTCTCTCTCTCTCTCTCTCTCTCTCTCTCTCTCTGTCTGTCTTTCTCTCCCTTTTTGTCTCCTCCATTTCTCTCTCCACCTCTCTTTCCCTCCCTCCCTCTCTCACTTTCTTCTTCCCTTTCTCTCCCTTCTCTCCTCTTTCCTTCCCTCTCTTTCTCTCACATATACTCTCTCTCTCTGTCTCACACTCCCACTTTTCTCTCCTTTTTCTCTCCTTCCCTCCCTCCTCTGCTCTCTCAATCTCCTTCATCTCTCTCCCTCCTTCCTCTATTCTCTGTCCTGTCTCTGTCTCATTCTTTTCTCTGTCTCTCTCTCTCTGCCTCTCTGTCTGTCTGTCTGTCTGTCTGTCTGTCTCTCTCTCTCTCTCTCTCTCTCTCTCTCTCTCTCTCTCTCTCTCACACACACACACACACACACACACACACACACACACACACACATACACACCATCTTCCCCTTACAGATAGAATCAGGCCTATCTATGTATCCTTCCTTGTGGAGAAGCTGACTCCAGACACCCCACTTACATGTTACACATAAGGAAACAGGTGCAGAAAAGACAAATGACTTACTAGTGGTCACATGGTTAATTAGCAATAGCTCTCTGGTCTAGATCTTGGCTTTCCTGACACCAATCAAGGAGCTTCCCACTATAACACATCATGACTCCAGTGCGCTTCCATAAAAAGTCAGTAAGGCTCTTAATATAAGTATAAATTGATTTTACTTCATTAAACCTGGTAATAACCAGTGCAATGGGGAATACACACTCCAGTAATATTGAGAGAGCTCCTTAGCTTGACAGAGAAGAGGTCCTGCTTTCCTTCTAGGGTCAATAGTCAATAAACATTTATTAAATACCTACTGTGTGCCAGGCACTGTACTAAGCACTGGGGATACAAATATAAAAAATTAAAAAGATAGTCCCTGCCCTCAAGGAGCTTACAATCTAATCAAGGAAGAAAAAACATGCCCAAAAAATCCTGAAAATTGGGGGGGAGGGGCAAGGTATGGGGGTAGGGGTTGGGGGCCAGGAATCACAGTGGAGAAGTCAGAGAAGTCCCAAGGTAGTGTGCAGCAAGGTGAGAAAGGAGATGTCTGAAGTCTCTCCCTTTTTTTTGTTTTGAGCTCTCTCCTTAAATAGAAGTTTAGAGTTCTTGGCCTATCCTCTATCATGAAGGCTGAGGGTAGTGATGAGATGGGGTCCCAAGGCTGAGGAGATCTTATAGGATGATGAGGTTATCCTAATAATAAGCTTTCGGGAACATGGGGGAGAAGTCAGAGAAGCCCCAAAGTAGTGTAGCCAGGAGAGAAACGAGGAGATGGTATTTATAAGGAGCTGATGGACACCATTTTTGTTGTTATTGTACATACATGTTAAGTAAACTACAGACGCTGGCCCATGGGGTCACAGAGAGTCGGACATGACTGAACAGCGATAAGCTGGCCCATCCCTGGACATCTGGTTACCTTCTCCCTGTTTCTGGCAGCTCTGTCAGGATGATGATGATAGCCTGAGGTTACTGAGTACCTTTTTCCCAAAGCGTTTTTCTATAGGATTATAAAAGCTTAGAAGGATCCGTAGAGATCATCTTGTACAACACCCTAATTTTATAGACAGGAAAACTGAGGCCTAGAAAGAGGAAGTGGTTTGTCCACTAGTGCTAAAAAGCAGAGGAGGCATTTGAACCCCCCCATTCTTACCATAATTTCTCTGATCTATTCCCTCAATGGCCTATATACTTAGACCATCTCTGGAAGGGAAGGAGCAGGAATGATTCTTTTCTTCCCCACATTTTTGAGGGAGAAGCTGAAATCCAGATTTTCTGGTCTGGCAGAAGTCACACAGTGGGGCAAGGACAAAGCCAGCAGAACCCAGATGTCTTGACTCTCAGCCCAAATATTCTCTATGAAAACAATTTCCCAACTGCTGATGGGAATGTGTCTAGAAGCTCAGACCAATTGCTGCTGCTTCTCCCTCCCGTCACTCCTCCAGCTCCTCACCCCTCTCTCCCCACCCCTAAAAGAAGTGGAAGAAAGGCAATCCCACTCAGACTCACCACCAAGCATTTTGGACTCAATCTTAGCAGAGCATGGGGAGTCAGTGGAGGTTTTTGACAATCCAAATTCTCTCAGTGGCCAAAGAAGTTTGCTGAGAGGACCTAAATTGCCAAGTTTGAGCCTCTATCCTCAGCCACCAGTTTTGCCTCCAGAATAATTATACCATATAATGGACCTTTTCCAAGAACAGGAGACCAGAGATACAAACTTGGCAGCAGTTGGAATCTGGATGAGTACGGCTATTCACTCAGATAGCAGTGGCTATCCATATTTCTTGGCAGCTGGGTCCAAGATCAAAGAAATCACAAGGGCCTCTCCTAATATTCAAATCCATCCTTCTGGACAGGTTTCAACTCATCAGGAGCCTTGGATTCCTGTATCTGCCATTGCATCAATACATGGAGCTAGGATAGCCTCTCAGGCTGCAGAGGTTCTCCTCCAAATTAGGTAGAGGCAGAGTGATACAGGAGGAAGAGTATGGGGTTTGGAGTCAAGATCTCTGGATTTGAATTAATAGTCCTACGAACCTTGGTAAATTATTTAACTACTCTGAGCCTCAGTTTCCTCATCTATAAAATGGGGATCACAATACTTATACCACCTACTTCAGAGGGGTGTTATGAAGAAAGCACTTGGTAAACCCTAAGGCCCAATGCCAATGGAGACTAATCGAGGCTGAGGTGGTAGAAGCCTGAGAAGGCAGGGGAAATGGGGTAGGACCTTCAGGAAAAAAGATCAGAGAAGTCATAAGCAACCCCCCGAAGGACTCGGGAGCAAAGACTAAGGGGGGCCCTGGTGTGAAGTGAATGGCAGGGAAAAAAATCCCACACAAAGTAATTTTCTAATAAAAATTCTTCTCCAGAACCAGGGGCTTGAGCACACTGAGCCCCACGATGCCCACTCAGGGTCAGGTATCATAGGGGAAAATAAAAGGCCTAGCAGCAAGATGACAACTCCCTTTTTTCATACCAAAGGAGGGGAACAGGCATAGAATGTGAGGAGAAGGGGCCTCATAGTGATAGTGATATCTCGTATTTGCACAGGAGGGGAAGGCAACAAGCATTTATTAGGCATTTTCTACAGGCCGGTGCCGTGCTAGATGCTTTACAGATATGATCTCATTCGATCCCCTTAACAGCTCCTGGAGGCGGGCACTGTCATCATTTCCATCTTACAGCTGAGGAAACTGAAGCAGACAGGAGGAAAAATGACTTGCCCAGGGTCCCACCGCTAGTGTCTGAGGCCAGATTTAAACTCAAGAAGATGAGTCTTCTTGACTCCAGGCCCAGCACTCTGTGCATTATGGCGCCACCTAGCTGTCCTAACACAGGGGACTAATGAAAACTCAGCCTTTACGAGCAAGTGCTGCGTGCTGAGAAGGGGCTGGGGGAGCCCACCCAGGAACCAAAGAAGCTAGCAGACAGATAATGAAAGAATCTGATTTGCCCCCGTGGTGGTCTTTTGCGTAAAATCCAAATTCTGACTCAGCAGCCAGTCAAAAGTAAACAGACTGGAAATATAGAATACCTGCACATGCTCGAAGGTCCACTCTGGGGATTGTATCAGCCACAGCATGCTACATTTACTCCTAAAGACTCGACTCTCCTCGGCCAGCTCCCTGTTACACATACACATATACACACATGCATGCACATCACTTGCATATTATACATGAGATGATAGAAGCGCTTTATAAACCTTAAAGCACTTTTAAAACGCTAGCTATCATCAACATATAATATGCATGATTATGCATGGAGATAGAGACTAGATCTGTGGGGAACTCCCAGGAAACTCCCCTTAAGAATTCAGGTTGGCACCTTCTCTGCAACTTGGAGTCTTAGAAAGTGCCTAGAGCACTGAGATAGTAAATGTCCATGGTCACACAGTCTGTATGTATCAGAGGTGAGACAAACACAGGGTTGTTTTTTTTTTTTATTCTAAGGCAAGGTGTCTATCTATTATGCCAGAATGATAGGAAAGAGAGGGGGGGAAAGGGAGAGGGAGATTTATATGTTCATATGACATTTCATACGAGGTATAATATATGATCTAAGATGCAATTTCATGTACATAAATACATGCCTATATCTTACACATATGCATACATGCATATGGGAGGATGTATAGTTAATATATGTAAATATATAACATTTCATTCATATCACAGATTTCAGACTGAAAGGGACATTGTCATTGTTGTTGTTCAGTCATTTCAGCCATGTCCAACTCTTCTAGACCCCATTTGGGGTTTTTTTTGGCAGAGATACTGGAGTGGTTTGCCATTTTCTTCTCCAGCTCATTTTACAAATGAGGAAGCTGAGGCAAACAGGGTTAAGTGACTTGCCCAGGGTCACACAGTGAGTAAGTGCCTGAGGCTGGATTAAAACTCAGGAGCTTGAGTCTTCCTGACTCCAGGCCTGGCACTCTATCCACTGGGCCACCTAACAGGCAAAACACTGAAGTGCATATACCAAGACGTGTCCATACCCAGAGCATTTCAGTGCTCAATGAGTGAGTCATTAGAGATCCTCTAGTCTAACCGTCTCATTTCCTCAAGAAAACTGAGATCCAGAGAAGGGGTGTATCAGACTGGACTAGAAGCACATCCTGCTTCCACTCCAATACCCTTCACCCTCCATGACCAAACCCCCCTCTCCAGTGCCTAGTGACATACTCCATTGAGTCTGCGATCTCATCTGTCTCCCTGCAGGGACCGACATATGGGAGACATCCATTCTTGCCCATCCTGTGTAAATCTAGTCAGTCTTCCCATCGATCCTCCACAGGGGTCTGGCATGCTGGGGCAGAGGGGGGAAGCCTCCTCCACTTCATTTGACATTGTATGGGACACAAAGGCTGTCAATTAATTGCCCTTCACTTTTGATAAGCCACTGTCTCACCTTTTTTCCTCTCTTGACATATAACCTTCTAATGCAGGTCTGCACAACCTGCAGCCTATAGGCCACTTAGGGCCTGCAGGCACGCCAAAGGATTTCGGTTGGCTGGAAAAATGTAGAGGATGTTTTCTTCCACATATTTTGCGGGCCACCCAAAAGCCTTTGGCAGGCCACAGGTTGTGCAAGCCTGTTCTAATGACATCAGGGAAGGGGTATATTCAAGTGATAGGAGAATCATGAATTGAAGGTTTAAAGGGACTTAGAGATCTCTAGGCCCTCATTTTACAGATGAGTAAAATGAAACCCAGAGATATTATGATTTGCCCAAGGTCACAACAGTAGTAAATGGCAGAACTGGAAGGCGGACCCGGATCTCTGATTCCAAATTCAGTTCTTTATTTTGTTTTGTTTTTTTCTTTTTTTTTCCTTTTTTTTTCCTTAGGCAGTTGGGGTTAAGTGACTTACCCAGGGTCACACAGCTAGTAAGTGTCAAGTGTTTGGTCTGAGGCAGGATTTCAACTCAGGCCCTTCTGATTTCAGGGCCAGTGCTCTATTCACTGTACCACCTAGCTGCCCCCCAAATTGAGTTCTTTCTATCATACTATGCTACATAGAATAATGTGGGGTTTTTTTGTAATGCAAAATGATATACTCAGCCACACAAGCCCTACCTACAACCATCTCGGCCCCATTGCAACTAGGAAGCCTGATAGGACGAAAATATGAGTAGAACCATCCCAAAGGTCAACACTGAACTCTGGCAGGCAAGATTTCAGGGAGCTAGAACATCCCTAGGGAAGGAAGCAAGGCTTTAAGAAAAGGAAGTAATGGCAGGTTAACATTTGTGTGTGTGTGTGTGTGTGTGTGTGTGTGTGTCTATGTATCTGTGTGTGTGTGTATCTGTGTCTGTGTGTGCGTTGTGCTTCCCTTCCTTTCCTTCCAAGCTGCCCTTGACATTCATTCTACCAAACTCAGAACAAATAAGTTTGGGAAGTTGTGTAGGGATAGGGTTACAGTGTCATGAGCTAGAAACTCAGGGAGGCCCCATTTACTCAAGACTGAAGCAATAGACAGAAGCCCAAAACAGTTCTATTAAATATATTTTTTTATTTCATTCAAGGCAAAGCTAAATAAAACTCTACAGTGCAAAATGTATCATAAAGGCAAAGCATCCTGATTACATCCTTTCTTTCTGTGCTTGTACACAAATATATATGTATATGTATGCATATATACATATATATAAACATATAAATGCACACATACACACCTGCATTTCCCCAGAGGCCCCTAGGCCTAGAGACTTCCCAAGGCCTATATGTGTATCATATCAAGATATGGTTATATAGGTTATTTATATAACCACATAGTTACATAGGAAAACTGACTATAGGAATTGTTTTCCATTCAAGCCAAAGGAAAAAAATCATGCACAGTATAGTCAAAAGCACTGCATATCATGTGGGCAGTTGAAATATTGGGAATCTGGGTTGGAACAAAGAAAAGTAACGAGACCCTGGGGACCTCTCCAGAGAAAGTCTCTCCCCTCAGTGCTCCCTCCCTGCCATGGTAGCTGTCCTCCCTGCAAGGATATGAGATGAGCTTCTACTCTGGGGAATCCTCTGTCAGCTTCTAGACATTCTAACAGCCACCAAGCAAACCAAGGAGGGCGATCCCTGCCATGTCTTGCATCCCTGTCAGCCTCCTTGCTGGGTCCCCTGATAAGAAACCCTCGTAAATTCATTTTCACAGGGAAAACACATGCTCTCTCATGACCTCCACCATGCATACTACATACATACACACAAACCACATCGACAGTCCCTTCCATCTACACAGTCACATACCTCTTCTATGCACTTGCATACGTTCATACTTCTTCCATAGACCTATCCTCATTCCCCTCATGTACCCCAGAAATGCCCACCTACGTATAGGCCCCCATACATGTACTCCCTCGACACCCGTTCACATACACATACTCCCTACACACATTCACACATCCCATACACACACTCATGGCCCACACTCACTCACACCCAGCCTTCTCGACAAACACTCCCTGCACATTTAAACTTCCCCACATTCAAATTCAACAAACATTTGTGCAACAACCAATCTAATGCTTCTCAGTGCTGTAGGCTATAAGGTGCTAACCTGCTTTGGTAAAGGGAGTTTCTTCACTTCTTACTGTTGTTCAGTTGTTTTCAGTTGTGTCCGCATTTGGGGTTTTCCTGGCAAAGATATTGGAGTGATTTGCTATTTCCTTCTCTAGCTCATTTTACAGACAAAGAAACTGAGGCAATCAAGGTCAAGTGACTTGCCCAGGGTCATACAGCTAGGAAGTGTCCGAGGCCAGATTTGAACTCAGGTCTTCCTGACTCCCAGCCCTGCACTCTATCCACCACACCACCCAACTGCCCTCACTGGGGAGTTCCCTATACTGATGAAATCCAAAGTGCAATCCCTATTCCCTATCCAATGCTTTCTCATGGCCTAGAGGTAAGAGCCTGAGCTTCCAAAGGCTATGCCACAAAGCAGTGAGCACTTGATATCATGTGGCCATCAACGAGGCAGACCAGCTGTCAATCAACCATCTATCCTCACTTTGCCTGCTCTCTGAGATCACCTCCATCTACTTTATCTAGATTTTGCACAGTTGTTAGTATCCTGTCTCCCCCACTAGACTATGAGCTCCCTGAGGGCAGGGACTATGTTGTTGTCTCCCTTGTATGCCCAGCACTTAGCACAGTGCCTGGCACACACATAGTAAGTAGTTAATAAATTCCTGTTGACCGGCTGACTGCATTCCAAATGCAAACTGGTCATGTAATCCTATAGATACTCATATGCACATACACTTGCGCACATTTGAAACACACACACACACACACACACACATACTAACTCTTGCCATAAGCAATAGGTATACATAGATTACTCACAGTCTCAGACATGTATTCCCCTTCCACTGCCATTTACAAATACCCACCTAGCCAAAAGTATCCCCCATGAAATATGACCAATATAAGCCATTTCAGTCCCCAATTATAGAATTCATGGCCAGAGGATGATAAAGCTATTGTGAAAACCAAAGCCAACTGCACAGATCCTTTTTTCTGATGTGAAAGAACAGGGAGTGCAAAAGAGAGACTTAGTCTCCAATTGATTTCTTTGGTCTTATCCACTCAAACAGTCTTTTATAGATTTATAAAATATTAGAGCTGGAAGGGACCTTATTACCTCATCTAGTCCAGGGATTTCTAATCCCTTTAGGGATGAGGACCCCTTTCGAAATCAAAATCTTTCCAGGACCCTAGCCCAGTAGCATTCTCATTCTATTGTACTTTTTGCATCTGCAGATACTACGTACTCACAGATCCGTACGGTAACTCCAAACAACACCCCCACAAACCTAAAGCCTATGAGACAAAGGCCACCAATTTAGTTCAATTACCTTCCTTTGCCGAGGAAGATACTGAGCCCTAAGAGATCCTGTCCGTGACAAGTGAATTTAAGTTCTGGAAATTCAAGTACAACTTGGCAAAGTAGGCTCCCTTTGAACAAAGAAGCTTCACCAGTTATCCTACACCTTCCCTTCCATGGAATTTCAGCGTTGCAGGAGATGCATAAGTGGTGGCTCTACATATACTTCCTGCTCCATAGCCAAGGCCATGGGAGAAGATCTTTAAGCAACATAGCTAATGTTTCCAACACCCTAGAAGTGAAGAGAATTCCAAGGACGCATGTGTAGTGATAGGGGAGACAAGGATGAAGAAAAGGAACCCACCCTCTGAACAATCTCTCTGATAATAATACTCTGCCTCCTGGAGCACTCCTGAGTCAAAACTCCTGGTCAAGCTTCACAACACCTCAGTGAGGTAGGTAAGTATTATTATGCCCATTTTGCAGATAGGGAAAACTGAGGCCCAGAGAAGGTAAGTGACTTGCCCAGGGTCACTCAGCAAGTAAGTGGTAGAGCTGGGAATGGAAAGATCTCACTTGTCTTTTCCCTTCCTCTCAAACTACCCTAAGAACTAGACCCCAAGATCTTTTTTACCCAACTTGTGCTTAATGTGCAGGCTAGAAAGGAAAAAGAAAGTAGTTTTCCATGAAGGCAGCTACAAGAGGTATTTGCTGGATGGTTAGAAGCCCTGATCTGTCTACTCCCAAAGGGCTTCTCACCCATGGAAGTCTGAACACATATATAAAATCTGGCCTAATAAAAGCAGGACAGAATGGGAGCAATTGTAGGAGGAGAAAGGGGAGAACGGGAAGCCCAAAAGGGGTGCACAGCACCAAGCATGAGGCAGAAAGCTCTGGGAAACAGGCAGCCAGGATTATAGTGAGTGGAGCCGGGACATAGGCCCCTGTCCAAAGCGGGCCTAAGGGGAGCCTGCCAGGTGCCACTTCCCAGTTCTATGATTTTATTTCCTTTATCTTCTGTGGAATGGGAAATTCTGTCCCAGGGAATCCCCAGAGGCAGCTACCATAGGTACTTGGTTGGTGAAAAGGAAATAAGAGAAACTCTGGCTATTCCTGGGCAAACCACAGAAGTTGAGCCTGAAAAATCTAAATGAGGCAACCATGTGCAGTCTCACCATCGAGGACAGGACAGGGTTTGTTGGCTTATGTTGGCGCCATGACATAACATGAGACAACCATGTGCAGTCTCACCATTGAGGATAGGACAGGGCTTGTTGGCTTATGTTGGCGCCATGACATAACATCACCATCACCATCCCCACTGCCCTCCCTTCACTGGGCCCCTTCTGTCTACTGCTTTGAGGCACAGTCATATGGATTCTCAGAGCTCAACTACTCCCTCAACCAATTGCCCCAATCATTCCCATACCACATCCCCCAAATCCCTCTCATGTCAGAAGCCCAAGTTAATTAGCAAGGGACCAAGCTGAATCATCCTGATTATAAGCTCCCATACCCTACTCACTGCTGCTTTTCCCAGGCCAATAGCCCTCTGTGTGAGCTAGAACAGGTTTGGAGGACTCTTGCCTGCCTCCCATGTCAGATGCAATTTTCTGTCTCCCAGGGAATATGCTAAAATACCAAGGGTCTAAGGCACAGACTGTCCCCACTCATAGGGATGTGCATACCAGTTCTTAGAACAGCAAAAAATAACAATAATAATAATAATAATAAATAACTGTGGGTGCCTGTTCCCCTAGGTCCAACCCAACCTTGAAGAAAGGGTAATGCAGGCTGAGGTTAAACACCTAACACTGAAGTAGGGAGTGGTAGCCAGAAAAGCCAAGGCCTCTCTCAACAGAAGGAAGGAAAATTCTAAAGTCTGCCACCAGAAATGGAAGATACCTAGACAAAGGTTCTAGTCCTTTACTTGGGGATCATGCATGGGCCTTATTCATGGGGGAGAGATGAACAGCTGTGGGGAAAAGAGATGACTGGAAAAAGTGAAAGTGAGATAAAGGGAAAGTACACTCAGAATCACCAACAACATGGCAGTCTTTCTCCAAAAAGGAAAAGAAGGGGATTCAGGGGGCTGGAGGGAGAGGGATAGGATGGGGGTTCCCAATGAATTAGCCATAGTCCTGCCATGACAAAGAGACATGGGCTCCCAGGTATGGGTGGGGTGGGATGGGCCTGGGGCACAGGCCATGGCCTTTCCCAATTGGGGAACTTAGGCACCAGGGAGCTAAGGCTAGGTCAGAGCTTCTAGTCCCCTAGGGAGCTGGGACTCAAAGTCTCTGTCCTTGTCTAGATTAGTTCTCTCTCAGTAACATAGGAACTTGAGCCCCTGAGCTACAGATTTAGAGAACGGAGAAAGGGTTTAATATCCGACATCACTCCAGGCCAAAGAGCCAGGATTCTCCCTTTTCCCCACCTCCCAATGACTCAAGGTGCAGGGTGGCCCAGCTCAGAGCTCCTTACTCAGGCCTCTGAAGTGAAACTTTCCCAACTAGACCTGAGGTGATGAGAGAATGCCCTATGTACCTCTCCTCCCAACTCTAGCCACTGGGCTGCAGGCTGGGGTGAGAGAAGACCACATACCCCACAAAACAGGAAGTTACATCCCCATCTAGTTACATCTAGAAGCACCAACACCTGAAATGATCCATTCCTATAACCCCATGTATCCCCACACACAGAAAAAAAAGATATGAATCCTGCCCAGTTGACCTCCATCCCCAGAGTTCAGTGTTCAGGACTGCAAATGCCCCCCCCATGTCACCACAGGGACACCTCCATGTCTACCCCCTCCGATCCATAGAAGGGATTTTAGGGGACCCAGAGAGTGAGTCCTTTGTTTGGATGGGAGACGACTGAATAGGCCTTTGAAGATAGAGGGCGAATGGAATGAGAGGAAAGAAGAAGCCATTGAAAGAGGTCAGAATGGAGTGGGGGTCTTATGAGAGGGGGACAGGAGACAAAAGAAGACAGGCACTGAGAACCCCAAGCTATGGAAAGAAAGGGAAGGAATCCTGGTGGGAGGGAGACCCAGAATTGGAGCTCCCAGTGAATTGGCCATGGTCCTGCCTTGACCAGAAAGACAGATCTATAGGTCACGCAAGGGAAGTGATGGGACCAAAGCATGAGCTTTACCCATTCCCAGCACAGAGGGAAGGGGTTCTCAAATATTGGGGAAGAAAAATCAGGGTAGAGAAGGATGACTGGAAGAAAAGATCCTCATCTACACACACCCAAGCCTTGGGGTGTCTCATCCTCTGATGTCATCCCAACTCTGAGTCCCACGCAGTGCTCTTATACTGCTTCTCCCTGCCCTCCACCACCCCCTCAACCACAGGACTTCCCCTGGCCCCCTCTCTCCTTTTTTGCCTGACTTATCTGCATCACTGGAAGGAGGAGAAAAGAGAGAAAAGAGCTGAGGGGCTACAGCTAAGGGAGCCAGTCTAAGGAGGCCCCATTGCTCCCCACCCCTAGAGGATTCCAGTCTGAGCTAAGCAGCGGGCATCACAGGCACGTGGGTTCTATAGACACGGCCCAAGCATCAGTTTTGTTAACAAAAATAGAGACTCTGTTGTTGTGATATTGAATGCAGTATCCCCCTGGGCCTCGAGGCCAGAGGCTTACAACTTTGGTGTTGCTTTCTGTTCTGCTTTGGAGCCGGCCATTCCGTTCTCGGTGTTGTCATTCCCTGATGAATTCACGAGGCACTCCTTCCTGGAAAAGCAAAGAATCATAGACCTCAGCATTGCAAGAGACCTTTGAGGTCATCAAGGACAACCTTCTCGGCCACCCACTGTGACCCTGGCTACTGGTTTTGCAGTGCACTCTGCCTCATGCTTGGTCCTGTGCACTCTTCTCATGCTTACCACTTCTCTTTACAGAATTCTAGTAAAGGGGCTGCTAGGTTGCACGGTGAATAGAACAAACAGCCCTAGACTCAGAAGGACCTGAGTTCAAACCTGGTCTCAGATTCTTACTAGCTGTGTGACCCTAGGCAAGTCACTTAACCCTGATTGCTTCCAAAAAGACAAAAAAAAAAAGAATTCTAGTGACAGAGGGCTCGTTGTTTTGCAAGGAAGCCCTTCCATTGTTGGACAACTGTAATTGTTTTATAATTCTCTTTGCTATAACTCACATCTTTTAGTTCTAGTTTTGCCTATATAAAGGTAATAATGATAACACCACATCTCTAAGGCACTTTACCCACAATAAACCCGCAAATTAAGAGGCAGGGGAAGTATGTATCACTAGCCCTATTTTACAGATGAGGGAACCTAGGCTCAGAGGGGTTAACTAACTTGCTGTAGTTACACAGCTACTAAGAGTTGGAGAATGACTTCAAAGAAAATTCTCTAATCACTTACATAGTGGAAAAGCAGGTGAGATACAAGCCCTGGGACCTCCCTCCCTGCTCTTCCTTATAACACAACATTTTAATGTGGGAGAGGACAGCAATACTAATGAGCTGTCCCCAGGAAGGACACCCTATAGGGAGATGAGAAAGTGACATCAAGATCATGACTCTCTCCCCTCTTCCCCTGACCCCCTCCCTAACCCCCAGGGGAAAGAAAAAAGCAAAGTACAGGAGAATACTGATGATGACGGAGTCGTTCACTGCCAATCTCCTTAGTTTCAGGAGACAGGAAGGAGTGAGAGGAAAATAGAGTTGGGAGAGGTATGGAGAGGAAGATGACTAGATGATGGCAGGGAAATGTCAGTATAAGAAGGAGAGTGTGACTGGAGGAATATTTACACAGGAGATGGTGTGATAGGAGGGAGGTGCCTGGGCTGTGTGAAGACAGTAGAATGGATAGAATGAATTTGACAACAGGAAGGCTAGAACAGTGGGATAAATTTGACATTGTGGCATGCAAGAGAACCGGGAAATGAATAGAATAAGGATGCAATGAGAACAAGAGTGGTGGAATAGAAGAGGACAGTGGAATGAGGAGAAAAATGGGATAGGCATAAGGATAGCAAAATAAAGGGAAAAAAGATAAGATAGAAAGAATGAGAGAGGGCCTGAGAGGACTGCAATAGGGGGAAGGTTAGTAATATATGGAAAAACATTATGGGATGAAGGGAGCTTGGGAGGAAGATCTAATGGGTTAGGGAGAAGGATGATCACGTAAGAAAAGCAAGGTGCATAAGAAGGACAGGGGTAGGATAGGAAGATAATGGAATAGAAAAGATGATGGTAATAAGATGGGGAGGATGGTGGGGTAGAGGAATACAATGGTACAAAAAATATAACCTCGGAATAAGGAGAAATAGAAAATTAGAGATGAATAGTCAAAGATGAAGGAAAATAGTTAAATAAGTAGAAGAAAAGTGGGTTGGGAGGAATGGCCTGATGGAGACAATAGTTAGAAGGGAAGAAAGGTAGGATGGGGAGGATAGTGGGATTGAAAGGACATGGTGTGGGAAGAGGACAAGGGGAAAATGGTCAGATGTAGAAAATACTATAAAAATAAGGGAAATCTAGCATGACCACAGGTAAATCACTTAACTTCTTAGCCTTAGTTTCCTCATTTGTAAGAGTGAGGAAAAAAAATACTTGTACCACCTACCTCACAGGGGTGTTGTAGATATCAAATGAAATAATGCATTCAAAACCTCTTTTCAAACTTTATAGTTTTACTTATAAATATTATTATTGCTGGACAGGAAGGAAGACAGAATAAGGAAGAAAGGGATGAGGATGAAGATGACTGTGAGCTACGGTAAGGATGATGGGATGGGGAGAATAGTGGAACAGAGGACAGTGGGATAGGGAAAAAGGACAATGGTGCTGATAACTCACTTCTTTTCTTGGGTCTTCTTAATGATGAAAGTAACAAACTTCTTAATCAACATGATGACAATGAGAAGTCCGATGAGACCGCCCACAACCGAGAGGATGATAATTGTCACAGTATTATCGACTTTCACCACTGTGATGACAGAAGAGAAGAGAAAGAAAGAGTTAAGAGATAAGCAAGCCCCAGATCCATGGAGAGCTAGTAGCATTGAGATATACTAGAAAGAGCACTGACTTTAGAATGAGAATACTTGAATTCACCTCTGTGGGCCTCAGTTTCCTCATCTGCAAAAGGGGCAGGGGGTAGGGTAGTACAGCTTTATATGCTTTGATCATAATCAGTTAACAAGCACTTATCAAGAATACACTGTGTACATGAGTAATGTGGAAATATGTTTAATATGATTGTACATGTATCGCCTATATCAGATTGCATGCTGTCTTGGGGAGGAAGGAGGGGAGAGAGGGAAGGAGGGAGAAAAAAATTTGGAGCTCAAAATCTTATAAAAGTGAACATTGAAAACTAACTTTACATGTAATTTGAAAAAATAAAATACTATTAAATGGGAAAAAAACTGAACAAAGAAATGGAAAAAAAAAGAACCTACTGTATGCTAGGAATACAAAGACAAAAATTAAATAACCTTTACCTTAAAGCAGCTTACTTTCTATAGGAGGAAAAACGTGCACAGTAGGAGTGAGGGACAAGTGTAGCCCTTCCCCCACAACCTTCTTGCCAGTGATTTTTTTTTTCTTTTCTGGCTAAATGTCCCCACAGCTTCAGGAGGGAAACCAGAGCCCCCACTACACCCCAATCCTTGGGTTCACTCCTTCCTTCCCAAAAGTGATGGACCAGACTCCTTTACCACCCTCCCTTGCCAGGTGGCCACTCACATCATTAGGATGAGCAGGGAGTCATCGACTATGGGGAAGGACCACCAGGCTTTCCCATTCACCATGATACCCTAACCCTAACCCTGTAGACCCCCAAGCATTGCCATCTGACCCACCAATGCATCCTAAGGACTCCTGGACCTTTCCATGATATCTGCAGTTGAGCCCTCCTCTCTATGTTGTCTCCCTTAATTAGCATCTGAGCTTCTTTAGAACAGTACCAACCTCATTCTTCTCTTTTTTTTTCCTTTTTAGGTAATTGGGGTTAAGTGACTTGCCCAGGGTCACACAGCAGGTAAGTGTCAAGTGATTGCTCTGAGGCTGGATTTGAACTCAGGTCCTCCTGACTTCAGAGTCAGTGCATATCCACTGTACCACCTAGCTGTCCCCCTACCTCATTCTTCTATCGGAATCCCTTTGTATCCCTTGCACTTAGCACAGGGCTTGTAACACAGTATTTTATAAATGCCTTTTCATTCACTCACTCAAATATATGCAAAATAAATACATCAGCAGCTGGGGAGGATGGGGAGATAAGGGAAAGGCTTCACTTAGGAGATATCACTTGAGCTAAGCTTTCAAAGTTCTTAGGTATTCAAAGAGGCAGAGATGAGAAGGGGGGAATTTCCAAGTGTAAGGGACACCCTGTGCAAAGGCATGAGTGAACCACAGAGCTGGGACCAGAAACCAGATCATCAGATGCCAAATACTTCTCTCCATTAGGCCATGCCACCTCCATTTACTTCATGCCAGTCTCCTCCTGCCCCAAAACACCCTCTGGTGGCATCCCTTCCCACCCTTGCACCTTTGTCCATGGGATTCTGTTTCATTGTAATATTGGTTTTCCCAAACTACCAATCTCTTCTGATGACACAATTCAGTGCATAATTTTATTTATCATCATTCAATTCCCTAGAGTTTTCTTCCTTGGTTCCCATTGTAAGCTCCTTAAGGACAAATCCATGTCTCCTACTATGTCAGTACTGACCCTAACTATGCTTAGTGTACTATAAGTATTCATTTACTAAATACTAGTTGATTGATTGATTAATAGATAGCCCAGTTCTTCTAGGAAGCTTTCTTTTTTGTTGTTTTTTGGTTTGGGGTTTTTTTTTAGGTAGGAAGCTTTCCATAAAACTATGTGGAAGAGAGTACTCCAGTCCCTTCCAGCCTCTTTTTGTCTAAACATTCAACTCCCCTAAATCCCTCTCCTCTAACTACCCCACGATATGCACTCACTGACCTCTCTATACACAATAAAATTATTAATGCCTCTGGCTGATTCTTATTCAGTCTGTCTAATATCTGTCTTAGATTATTACAGAAACTTCCAAAAGAACAGGGACTATGTATAACTCAATTCAGTGCCTCATAGAGACAAGAACCTGATTAGAATTAATTTTCAGATATCCATGATAATTAATAGAATCTGTGGCACGAATATGCCATAACAGTATCATCTAAAAATAATGCATTTGGACTCATCATGGATTGATTGCACAATTTTTTAAAAGTTAATTTTCTTTATGGTTGTTGGGGGTGTGTGTGTGGGTGTGTGTGTGAGAGAGAGAGAGAGAGAGAGAGAGAGTGTGTGTGTGTGTGTGTGTGTGTGTATGTAGTGTTTAAGTGAACAGGATTGCTGTATGACCATAGTAGGCACAGAACCAATAAATGATTGAATAACAGCCACTAACTATATACTAGTCTGTTTTCTCATCCATAAAATGAGAAGATGGGGCTGGACAAGATGAGCTCAAATATTCTACAATTCTAATATCCTACATGTCATTTTCTCTTTTTGACAGTAAGGATGATGACAAGGCCAGGATAGGAGAAAAATCTAACAGCGCTATAGTCAGTGGGGGGGCTGCAGCCAGGTCTTATAGGCTCCAGAGAGCTGGGCCTTACATTTTCACTGTGAGCATTTGCACCTCCAAAATCAGGGCCTGATTTGTTGTAGTGTTGAATGTCTAGACTTAAGAAAGTGATGGAGAAATGTTTAATAAAGCAGATTAAACTTTAAAGCACATCATGCTTTTCAGAGATCTGATTATTAAACACTTAACAGCATACTTATAAATATAGTATAGTTTTCTAACATTTGTATAATGCGTTAAGGCTTATAAAGTGCTTTACAAATGTTATCTCATTTTACCCTCACAACAACCCTGGGATAAAAGTGTTATTATTATCCCCATTTTACAAATGAGGAAACTGAGGCTAAGAGAGTTTAAGTGACTTGCTCAGGGTTACATAGCTAGTAAGTATCTAAGAATGGATCTGAACTGAGGTTTTCTTGACTTCAAATTCAGCAATTTATCCTAAGTTTGAGTCTTGACTGTTCTATACACAACTGATACGACCTTGAAAAAATGATTTCCCTTCTGCAGGCTTCAGTTTCCTCGTCTTTAAAATGGGAACAAAAGAACTTGTTCTAAGAATGTAGGATTGTTTCTGAGAAAAGAGGTTTTTTTTAAATGCCATCTAACCACATAACACTTACTAGCTGTGTGACCCTGGGCAAGTCACTTAACCATTGCCTAGCTAAAAAAATTAAAAAATAAAATAAAATAAAATGACATCCAAAGGGCAGCTAGGTGGCCCAGTGGATACAGCACCAGCCCTGGAGGCAGGAGGACCTGAGTTCAAATCTGGCCTCAGATACATTACACTTATTAGCTGTGTGACCCTGGGCAAGTTACTTAACCCCATTGCCTAGCAAAAAACAAAAACAAAAAACAAAAATAAAAATAAAATGCTATATAAATATGAGTTGTTGCCCTGCCTTCTCCTCCTCCCACCATCACCCCCAGAGGCTCCACCTCCACCATCCCCATCACATACACTTGTCAACAACAATGAGAGAGATCGTAGCTTCATGCTGGGCGTTCTTCTCCTTGGGATTTTTCACACGGCAAGTGTACTTTCCCTTGTCTGAGAACTCTAGGTTAAGAATCAAAATCGAGATGTTGTTCTTTTTTTCCTTGACAGAGCCAGCCATCTCAATGCGTGATGGGTCGATGTTTGACCTAATCTTTGGTTCTGACTTTTCATTCTTCACTGTCCCATCCAGCAGCTATGGGGAGACAGAGGAAAAGAGAGAAAACCCCAGAAACCAAGGAAGAATCAGAAGAGGCTAAATCTTAGCGACCAACCTTCTGTTTCTGGACAGAACATCATCTGAACCAGTAAAGATAGACTCTGGAAGTAGAGACTACACAGCCTTATCTGGCTATAAAAATTATTCCATTTACCTAACTCAAACCCTAACCTGTTTATATCTTGTCCAGGATTCAGGTAGGAATTGAACCAGAAGAACTCTAAGGTTGACACAAAAGCTAAGATTCCAGGATTCTATCCATCTCCTCAGTCCTCCTTCCCAACCATTGGGCAAATGCGGTAAAAGTACCTCATTTTGACACAACCAAGGTGACAAATGCCTGTCTAGCTCACGAGAAAACAAAAGAAAAAAAGGACTGATCAGAGGAATGAGAAATCCCAGTGTGTTCCCTGCCCAAGCCTAGAAGGGCTTTGAAACAAAGGTTCCATGGGACACAGGGGAAAAGCAGGACAGAGCAGAAAAGGGCTTTACCCCATCCTCTCCCTCCCAATCTCTGGTCACCACCACCACCACCACCACCACAGTCTCTCTCCTCTCTTGTCCCAAGAATACTCACATTCTTGAATTCCTCTGAGTTATTGAATGTCCACCAGAATTGTAGGTTTTCAAAGCCCATACAGGTGGAGAAAGTACAAGGCAGCAGGACATTTGTTCCATTTACAGCTGTAATGGTGGTAGCTTTCCCCACAGATACTTCCAGGGTCAGGGAACAAGGGAACAGGAGGAAAGCTATTCCTAAGGAAAATAGAAAGAAAAGGATCACAGTGGAGGCTCAATTCCAGCAAAGAACAATCAGAGAAGTCCTGGAAGTTGGAGAGTCTACCCTTTGGGGTACTTTTCTTTTCCTCTATGTGTGTATGTGGGTGTGGGTGTGGGTGAGAGTACATGTGTTGAAAAGTACCATTAGCCTGACATTCCAGAAATTTTGCCCACTGGCCTAAAAATCAAAGAATACAAACAGATTGACTTTCCAAAAACCAGAGGCTGACACACAGTCGATAATAAATATTTGTTAGAAAGGGAAGCTTTTGGGAGGGTTTCTAGAAGGTAATCCCTGGCAGTACTAGATCCAGGTAATACTCTGGATTTAATTATGTTGAGTCAAGTCCACGGGCATTTATTAGGTGCCTCCTATGTCTGAGGCGCTATGCTCTATAGAAGAGACCAGAACCAACGATGGGTGAAAAGCTGCTGAGGCAGGTTTTAGCTCAATGCGAGGAATAACCTCCATAGAATGTTGGAGCTGAATGGGAGTCCAGAAATCATCAAGAGAAACGTTGTCAGATGAGGAACTGAAACCCAGAAATACTTAAATGGCCAGTTATCAAGAGACAAAGCCAGCATTTTAACCCGTGTCTTCTGATCCAACGGCCACATGACAATGCTTCTGACATGCTGCTTTCTAATCATTCAGAACGAACTGTTTGCTTCTCACAAGAAGGTTAATTTTGTCTCATTGCAGTTGTTAAAGCAGAAGCTCAGGGATTTTGTAGGGAAGGTCATGCAGCCCTCACCCCCACACCACAGTTCAGAGAGGCCTCTTGCTTCCAGGGAGTCAGAACCTGAATCTGAGAATCAGAATCTGAGCTGAAGGAAGCCCCAGACATAAGCTGGGCTTGGGAGGAAGATTTTATCCCCTCTCTTTTCAGGAATCCAAACAAATCTTCTTTTCACACCCCAGAGCATGGGCAAAAGGCCAGGACTAACTTCTCTACTTTAGGGGACTGAGAACACCGAGACCCAGAAAGGGACCTCACTGTTCAGCAAACCCATCATGCTGTTGATGAAAGGACAACAAGGAAACAGTCTGGAAGACCTGACTCCCAGAAAAAAGACTTAAGAACAATTGTCCTAGGAGCTAGGTCCTATTCTCGGTTTGGATTTTAGGCACAATGGGCTGGCTTGGTCTTCTGTATAGGCAGAAACCTCTGAACTTCTAAATAGCCACCAGGGGTCGCCCCAACCCAGATAAACAAGGCGCTGGGCCGGCAGTAGGGCAATGAGAATAGGGCTTCCCAAAGTCTGGAAATGTTGGAGGCAAGTAGGTTACTACTACCCATGGTGCTACCCTCAAACTCAAACCCCAAATCTAAAAACAGATCAAGAGGAAAAAAGGTGAAGGCAAATGACTCTTCACCCGCGTCACCTGATTGTTCCTTCTTAGTTTCTTCATCTTCCTCCTTCAACCTTCTAAGTGTAGGAACTGGTGGCCTTTCTCTAAACTCTTTTCCAGAGAGATCTCACCAGCTGCCATGGCTTCAATCATCACCCCAATATAGCCCAAATCTGTATGTGCTTCATTCAATCTCTCCCTTTCACTACAGTCCCGTGCCTCCAACTACTTACAAGGTATTTCTCTAGGGCGCTCCACATGGCACCTCAAACTCAGCATATCTAAAACCGAACTTCTCACCTCCCCCAGCAGAATTCTTTCTGTTGGTGGCACCACCATGCTCCCAGTCAGCCAGGTACAAATGAGTAGAGAGCTCGGCCTGGAGTCAGGAAGACCTGAGTTCAAATACAGCCTCATACACTTACTAGTGTGACCCTGGATAAACCACTTAAACTCTGTTTGACTCATTTTCCACAACTGTATAATAACAGCACCTAACCTCACAGAGTTGCTGTGGAGATTAAACGAGATAATAATTACAAAGTATTTAACACTGCACCTGGCACATTATTAAATGCTTGTCTCTCCCCCCACTTGTCTCATAACTCCTTCCCTCTTCCCCACCATATCTAATGAGATGTTCAGTCCTGTTGATTCTTTTTCAGCAATTTTGCCCTAGGTCAAAAGTTTTTAACCTGGGGTCCACAGAACCCAAAGGGTTTATGGATATTTCAGTCTACAAACTTGCATGGGGAAAAAAATTATATTTTTATTTTCACTAACCTTCCATTTCCTTTGCAATTCTATACATTTTATTTTATGCATTTAGAAATACTTTTTTTCTGAAACAGAGTCCATAGGTTTCACCAGACTGCCAATAGGGCTCATGACACACATAAAAAAAGGTTAAGAACCCCTGTCCTAGATGGTGTGTGAATTTGGATATCTATACCTTTCTTTTACACTCAAACTGCTGCCCCCTAGTTCAGGTCCTCATCACCTCTACCTTTTATTATTATAACTGGTCTACCTACTGAGAGGTAGTATGTTATGAAAAGTACACTGAACTTGGAGCCAGCAGGCCTGGGTTCAAGCTTGGCCCTGCTGCTAACTTACCTGAGTGACCTTGGGCAAGTTACTTCCCCTCATCTATAAAATGTTAGAGTTGACTAAATCAGAGGTTCTTTACCTGACAGCCAGGTACCCACTTGGGGGTCTATGAAGATATTTCAGGGAGACTGTGAACTTGTTGGGAGAAAAATTACACCTTTATCTTCGTTAACCATTGGTTTCCTTTGTAATTCTACATTTTATTTTGTGCATTTAAAACCCATTATTCTGAAAAGAGGTCTTTAGGCTTCACCAGGATACCAAAGGGTCTATGACCCAAAAAAAGTTAATAACCCCTAAACTATGTTCTGTGAGAAATGATGAGCTAGTTCAGGGGTGGGGAACCTGTGGCCCGGAGTTGATTTTGATGAAAACACATGCATGATGGATAGAGCACCATCCCTGGAGTCAGGAGGACCTGAATGCAAATTCGGCCTCAGACACATAACACTCACTAGCTGTGTGACTCTGGGTGAGTCACGTAACCCCAATTGCTCTCACCAAAAAAAAAAATGCTGAAATAATGAAGAATGAAATGAGCAGAACCAAGAGAATACACTTACACACAGTTAAGAGCACTATTGTTGTAAGAACAGCTTTGAACAACTAAGTCATTTTGAATATTATAAATATTCAACTTAACTACAAGGGACCTATGAAGGAAGATGCTAACCACCTCAAAGAAAGAACTGATAAATGGAAGCATGCATAGGATATACAGATATGTATATATGTATACATATATATATATATATATATATAGGATAATACACACAAATATATACATATTGTGTATATCGTGTGTGTGTGTGTGTGTGTGTGTGTGTGTGTGTGTGTGTGTGTGTGTGAATGATGGCCTTCTGCAGCACAGAGTGCAGAGGGAAGGAGGGAGACAGTTGGGAATTTAAAATGTAACAAAATAAACAAATGTAATTTAATTTTTTTTTTAAACTTAGACTAGATGATCTCTAAAGTTCTTTCTGGCTCTAAATTCTATGACCAAGAGGATGCAGGCTTCTAAGTGGGGTTCCATGGGAATGGAAGTGACTAGAAAATAGCAACCAAAAAAAGTATTCTCTGGGGCCAGGGGCCAAGATTTCCAAGGAAGGGCAGGAAGCTAATGGAGAGCCCACAAAGCCCAGGGGAGCCTTCAAGGCTCCTTCTATATTGAGGACATTGTGCAATACTTCTCTTCCTCCCTTCGGCTCATATATCACCTCCTCCAGGAAGCCTTGTCTAATCCCCTCAGCTAAAAGGGATCTCTGTATCCTCAAATTTCTCTCAGCACTTGGGGTTGCCCCTGGGCCCCCATCACATTCTGTCATGTCTCATATTTATTTGTGTACAAGTCTTCTCCTCCTCAGTAGATTACAAGATCCATAAAGTCAGGAGCTATGTTATTCTTCACCTTTGTATCTATCCCTACCCCCACCTAGCGGAAGGCCTGGACATGGTAAGTGCTTTATACTTAGAGCTTGGAGATACAGGAAATGAGCCTGACACCTGGAATTAGGGAGACTTCAGTTCATATCCAATCTCTGACTCTGAGCAAGTCACTTCAGTTTGCCTATCTGTAAAATGGGGATAATAATAGCACCTACCTCCCAAGGTGGTTGTGGGAACAAAAATGAGATGACATTTGTAAAATGCTTTGCAAACCTTAAAGCACTATATATAGATGCTTTTAGTTGAAATGGACATTTGCCAATAAAGGTCAACTCAGCATACTAGTTATATTCCTAAAAGAATGAAAGGAAGAGGCATCTGGGGAAAAGTTGTTGTTGATAATAACATCTTAAAGAGTTTCAAAACCAGTTAGAAATTGGTTAGATACTTATTTGATCTTCAAAAATCCTCATAAATAAGTAGCTGCAGTTATTATCCCCACTTTAGTCTCAGAGAGACTAAGTGACTTTTCCTTGGCCATGTGGCTCTCAAGCATCCTGGAGGCAAGATTGGAACCCAACCTCTCTTGACTCCAAGTTCAGTAAGCGCTGTTCCATGATGTGGATGCTAAGCCCCAGGGGCCTGACATCATGGAAATTATTATTATTACTATTATTATTATTATTATTATTATTATTATTATTATTATCAGAGTGAGGAGCACTGAACTGAAAGTCAAAGGACCTACATACAGGGAGTCCCAGTTTGGCCTGTGTGAGCTGGGTATCACTTAATCTCTCTGACCTTTGGTTTCCTCATCTGTTAAATGAGAATAATACTTGTTCTACCTTTCTCACATGGTTGTTGCAAAGAAAGTGCTTTGTAAAGTGCTCTATAAATATTAGCTATTACTTTTACCCTTGTTCCAAGGAAACAAAGAGCTAATATTTATGTAGCACTTTAAAGTTTGCAAAATGCCTTACAAATATTATCATTTGACCTTCTCAACCACCCTGGTTGGTAAGTGCTATTAATATCCCCATTTTGTAATGGGGAAACTGAGACCCCCAAAGGGACAGAGATTAAGTGACTTGCTCAGGGTCACACAGCTAGGATTTGAACTCAG